GACTTTTGTGAATTCTTAAGATTTTATTTTGAGCAATTTGAACATGATGATCTTCTAGGGATTTACTAAAACTTATTTTGCTTTGTTTGTTAGGTAAAAAAAAACCTTTTGTTTCTTCTGAAAAAATGACAAATTGTGTGATTCAATGAAAGTGTTGAGTTCAATATTATGTTTGATAATATGGGAATTTGGGATTATTTAGTCAACAAAGCCACCGACTAATCTAACTATTTATTCTTTTAAAAAACCTTTTGGGATTGCGTCACTTAAAAGTAAACTCACCAAAAAAGTTCAATTTCTAATTCCTTTACATTATAAAATCATGGGAAATTGGCATATAAAAATCAAATATAAGAGATTGTGTTATTTCTATTAATTACTTAGGCAGAAAATAGATTGCTTTCTTTTTCTTTGACCAAAAAAAAGAAAAAAAATTCCAACCTATATGAACTTTCACCTTAAAAAGTTCAAAAAATTGATGTGTTTATTAAAACCTAACCTATTACAAGTTTGCCAAAAAAAACAAATAAAAACACAACATATAATATTTTATCAAATAAATAGAAACAAAATAATTACGTATGAAATAGACCAACAATATAGAAAAAAACATTTCGCCAAATGGCAACATATCTTTTCTCATCTACGCGTCTTTCCTTCTTGATTCTGTTATAACCCGGTACCAAACCCGAACCCGGACCCGGATCCGATAGTAACACCGAATCTCACGCTATTTCATCACCGTCCGTCACCTTTCTCCAGTCGACCCGGTTGATATCAGCAAGCCCTTTCTGCGTGATTTCTGTTTCTTCACGCTCTCCAAAAATTTCTCATTGCTTTCGTGACGCCTTTCATGCTTTAAACGCGCCGCTAACAAATACACTTAACCCTCTAACCTCTCTTCATCATTACGAAAAGCTAATCCCATTCATTGGGTTTGCTTAAAACAACATAAAAATCCAAACTTTGCATCGATTTGATGGTATTTAGCTGAACCCTTTTCGTTAGAAAACAGAGCAATCATGGAAATGGGTTTATCTGGGATGTTGAATCAAGGAGGATCAAAATTAAGGAAATTTGAGATAGAATCATCATCATCATCATCATCATCCTCTGATCATCAGTTTCATTCGATGAATGCTCTTGAGATCTTGAGAGAAACTGTTCGAATTCTCCGGTATAATCTTGGTGCTTTCATGTTAATCGCTCTTCTTTTGATCTGTCCTGTTTCCGCAATTCTGTTACCGAACCTTTTAGTTGATCAATCAGTTGTTAATTCACTCACAGTGAGGCTTCTCTTAGTTTCGAAATCAAGTGGTCTTCCTTTGTTGCCTTTTGTGAGAAACTCTTGTCAGAAATTCTCTGAAACTGCTGTTTCTTCTGCAATGTGTTTCCCTTTGTTCATCACTTTGTCACTCTTGTCTAGAGCTGCTGTGGTTTACTCTGTGGATTGCACTTATTCGAGGAAAAAAGTTGTGATAACAAAGTTTGTGGTGATAATGCAGAGACTATGGAAACGTCTTGTGATCACTTACTTGTGGATTTGTACGGTGATTGTTTTTTGTCTCACTTCCTTCTGCGTGTTTCTTGTCGCGGTTTGTAGCTCCTTTTATGTTCTTGGATTCTCTCCTGATTTCAATGCTTATGGAGCTATCTTAGTTGGTTTGGTGTTCTCAGTAGTGTTTGCAAATGCTATCATTATCTGTAACACCACGATAGTGATCTCGATTCTTGAAGATGTTTCGGGGCCGCAAGCGTTGGTTAGAGCAAGTGATTTGATCAAAGGACAGACTCAGGTTGGTTTATTGATATTTCTAGGATCAACAATAGGATTGACTTTTGTGGAAGGATTGTTTGAGCATAGAGTGAAGAGTTTGAGTTATGGAGATGGGTCTTCGAGGTTATGGGAAGGTCCATTACTTGTGGTGATGTATTCATTTGTGGTGCTTATTGATACAATGATGAGTGCAGTGTTCTATTTTAGTTGCCGGTCTTATAGTATGGAAGCTGTTGAAGCTTTGGAAGCTTCTGGAGAGATTGTGTCCCAAGATTTATCTCTGCTTTAAGATTTGTTTTCAAGTTTCAGAACTTAAGAAGATCTAAGATAATGCTAAAGAAGAGTATCAAAAGAGTTAGTTGGATCAGAGAAGTTAATTTGAGAGGTCATGTATATGAAAGGAGATTTTTTAGTTGAGCATTCTTTTATGGGCTTTCTACTTCTTCTTTTTTAGTTTTTTTTCCTTTACATTTTGTGATTGTCTCATGTCGTGACGGCCCATGTTCATTCGTATTTTGGTCTTATTTTGTCAATAATCAATAGAAAAATGTTCATCTCTCTGCAAGTTGTTATATGTTTTGTGTGTTGAACAATCTTTGAAAATGTTTGTAACTGGTCTGAGTTTATGAGATAGTTCCCATGTGTTTGGCTTTTAATCATTGTTAAGGATTGTGTTGTCTTGTATTTCTTGTTTATTTTCAGAGTTGAAGCATGTTTAGGTGTCTTTTGTTCGCTACTATTTCATGTCATTCTCGCAGTACAAATCCAGATGCTATTAAAAACAAAATTATAATATAACAGAAATTGCACAATCTGCAGCCCATTGGCCCATTGGACTAACACTCTTAGGCCTCTTTGAACGTTGGGCTCAAATGTGAAGTATTGGACATAGACCATGATGGGATTGAATATAATCATCTATGTAGTTTGATGGGATATTTTTACAGACGACATGCAATGATTCTGTTTCTCTGCCACAAAAAAACTATCAATCTATATTTATATGTGGCTCCAATATTTTCTTACGTATTTCTTGGTTTTTATGAATCTCCAAAGCTATTGAGACTTCTTTTTTTGTCTTCTAGAGTATATAAGAATTTTAACAAATGCAAATCAATAACATGTCACTTTAAAGTATATTTCATTAAACATACAATAAAAATATTCATTTAAAAAGACCGTGACAGATACAAAACAAATTCTAGATTGATTTGTGTTAATAAAAATTGTGAAATTAAATTAATTAACAGTTTAGTGATTCAAGCAAGTAAAAAAAAAAAGGAAGAATCGAAGAAAAAGAAAAGTTAAAGATGATAAACCACATTTTAAAGAAAAAAAGATAAACAACATTTTAGTTTGTAATATTAACCACCTTGGTCATCCATACATCTAATATATTTTTCAAATAGATGGTAATTTAAAAAATTATGATTTGTTTTATCCTTTTTTTCTTTATTTCGCATATAATAAAACACCCTACAAAATGGAGAAGATATAGGTAAAAATATTTAAATACGTTGGACAGATGGAGGCTAAAAGCTACCGTATATACTGCTATAGCCTTGTTATCAACTGTTCAAATGCATCCAAAATGGTTATAACACAGATAGACGTTTGTCAACTAACCCTGCACAGACAAAGACACCAATTTGACAACACATAGACAGTTCATTCGAGATTGGTTATATAACTTATAATCTTGGAACATAGTATATATTTTCTTAACTTAAACTTTGGCAAAATTATTCAAATGATATTGAAAGGAAAATATAATTAGTTTCAGCATGGGAGATAGAGCAAATACTCAATGCTACAAGTATAGTTTATAGATATATAAGTTTCAAAATATAAATACCAATAATGGTATTTTTATTTAAAGAGAGATAATTTTGGTACAGGTTGTCTCACTTCTCTGGAGAATTTGGGTTCCCGAGAACTGGAAAAGATGAAAAGAAAACCAAAAGATTACTTACTTCACATTTTCATTTTTTTTTCTTTCTCTTTTCATATTTTGTGACAACTCACAAAAACACAGACTCCTATTTCCTCTTTTTGTTCTTCTTTTTCATTGTTATTTAAACAAATCATTCATTCTGTCTTTTGTCCTCTGTGTCGTCGTTATTATACCCAATTTTTAAAAATAAATAAATGATACATGTAATGGTTCGTGTGTGTACTGCAACACTCTGCACAATTCATTAACTACACTTTCTTCCAAGTTGCAAACTATTCAATTTTTCCCCTTTTCTCTCTTTTGTCCTTTCTCTTGTTTTGGGACTTTCACCTTTCCAAACTCCAAAATCTTTATTTATTACTCCCTCCGTTTTCGAATAGTTGTCGTTTTAACTATATGCACACAAATTAAGAAACTATTAATGTTGTTAGTTTTTCAATATAAAAATATCATTAATTATCTACCTAAACATAATTTAACCAATAGTAAATCAAGTTGCATAATAAAAATAAATATAAAAAATAAAAAAGTAATAAATTTTGCATCGAAAACTGAAAACGACAACTAATTAAAAACAAAAAAATTTATCTAAAACGACAACTATTCGAAAACGGAGGGAGTACTCCAGAGCATTTAATTTTGTTCACAATCATATTTTTTTATTTTTTCAGTATTACACCCAACAAAAAATAGTTATTTTTTTTCTCAAATCATGACAATTTGAATTTAACATTTGCAAACTTTTCGAGTCCCTACTAGTAATCAACTACTCTTTAGTTTTCGAGTGTTTTGGTTGAAAGTTTGGCTTTGATGTGATATTGAAATGTGACTGAATTACTATAGTTGGAGTTTTGGTTGTTGATGATATGTTCCTCTTTCCAAATTATTGAAATGTTACAAGAAAATAAAACAAAAAGCTGATATTCATAATGTTTTGTGGTTGTGAACGTAGTAGAAACACAAATAATCAACATCAACTTCACGCATTCAGAAGAAACAAACAAAACAACAAAAAGAACTTTTACTTAAAGACATACTATGATTTATAGAAAGAAAGAAAAAAAGAACTCTAGGTTCAATAATTGATGGTGGCTTTGGTATTATGATAATTCACAAATAATATGTGATGAATTTATACAAAATTAAACATAATTTATATATGATATTAGAGATTATCAGTCAAAATGTATCAAATGGGGATGATTCGTTATTTTAAAGTTGGCTTCTATCTCAAGGAACTTAAATTAAGAACTTTGAAAGACAACATTATCAAGAGCAATTCTTTTATACTATTAAAGAATCAGCAGTAAAACATGAGATTCTTGACATTATCACTTAATTTAGGAAGAGGAATCGTCTTTGGAGGACCAACTCGAGACACAGAAGAAGGATTCATGGATCCTCCATTAGATTCAGATGATCTCTCAATGTAGAGCCTTCCTCTGTACGCAGCAAGGTGAGCATAATAAGCCGGTGGCACAATCGAAATAGGTTTCGTGCACCTTACGAAAGTGTAACACAAGTTATACACAAGTCTCTGCAATTCGTCTGAAGTAAACTCGTTCTCGTCCCATAGGATGTGGTAATGCGTTGGCCTGCTCGTGCCCTTCACTCCTAAATGGCTACAGAGATAGAAATCAAACTCTTTTGGATGAGTTATCACTGTATCAACCACTGTTCCAGGAGGGATGTTCTCATTGTCTGGATTGCACCGGAACAGCCTCGTGTGGTGTCGTTTCTGGACCACGGCGAATGTGATGCTTGGATTGTAATCTTGGAACTTCGAACAAGCGGTTTTGATGGATTGAAGCTCTTCTTGGAGGATTTTCTTGAACTGTGTTTCGCTCACACCGTCTCTGAAGAATATGATTCGATTCGGAAGCTTGTTTACCGCTTTGTAGAAATCGTCAAGAAGTTCCTTGACCATCAAGTCAAGATCTTGAATGATCTCTTGCCTATGAGTCTGAGATCTCATTCTTGAGACGTATCTGTTAGCTTCTGGCCAGTTTATGCTCCCAACCACAGCCGCTACTGAAGGGCTACAATCATCGAACGGATGAGGATGCGTTACATCAGCTCCCATGAAGATAACTGGCTCATCGGGTCTAAGCAGTCTTGGGATGTGAGAAGGTATCGAGTTGTAGAGCTCGGTCATGGATCCACCGATCTTGGCGTTTATCTTGAGAGCTAAGTTTGAAACGAACTGAGAACTGAGCTTAGTGATGTTAGGGTATAAGCAGCATTGTGTCACAACACCAATTCTTGTCTCTGCTATCCTCTTTAGATCTCCGTACCCTTTATGTTTTTTCTCCATTACACAGATGATCAGCTGAAGATTGTTCAATGCCGCTCTTTGAATCTCCTTCAGTTTTGATTCGAGAAGCGAGATGTTGTTGAGTATGTTCGATGGTTCAAAGAAGGTGCTGCTTAATGTGTTCTTGCTTAAGAAGACTCCCAAATGCTCACACTTTTGAGTGAGCTCATTTATGAACTTTGGAATGGTGGATTTTTGATCCGAGCTGCCTCCAATACTCATCAAAGCCCATCTCTCGATCCGGGTTCCTTTAAAAGCTCTACTTTCTTTAAGGTTCCTTGGCCGGTCAAGTTTAAGCTTTGGAGGCTGAAGTATTCTTCCTTTCAGCAATGTCATTTCTTTCGAAATCTCGAGGTTGAATTCTCTTGTTTGTTTTCCGCTGTCAAAGTAAAGAACCAAAATATTAAAACTCTTTTCGATGTTTTAGTACTCGAATATAGAAACTCGAGTGAATTGAATTACCTCGATGGACCGACTGATCCTGCCATAACCTTATCAATAATAGCTTTCCTTTCATTTGGTTTTTGACAGCCCATTTTCATGATCTTTGCAGCTTGATCATCCGAAAGCTTCCCAAGAAACTTTTGACCTTCACAAATCATACATAGTTCCATAGGAAGGTAACAAGGTCTTGTCCTACTGATTTGCAGACACGGCAAGTTCTTATACTGAATCTCATAACCATAATGATCTTTAAAGTAGCTCATAAGCCTTAGATGCTTCCCGTCTCTATCCGGAAACCATATATTCTCGGTAATCTCCTCTGTTAACCCGTAAACCCGATATCTTTGAACTGTTTCTCTATGGCAAACAAAGACTCTTATGTTCTTAAGTGCTTTCTCCACTTCTCTCTTTTCCTCTAGACTCAATTCTCTATTTTTGTTCCTAGAAAGGTCCTTGAGAAACTCGAGCCGCTTCTGCAAGTAAGCTATTACTCCAATACTTTCATGGAAAGCTGTTATTGAGAGATCCATGTTAAGTGCTAAACCTTGCTGAGTCTGTCTAAGACTCTGAAAAAAACCTCTGAGTCCAACAGCTCCTCCTCCAATCTCCTTGGATCCACCCATAGAACTCGAGTAAAACGATCTTCCAATCGATGTACACTTCTCCATTGGATTCTCCCTCAAGATAACATCAAGAGCATGAATGTATTCAGGAGGCAGAGGAGTCCAATCTTCTCCTTCCTTTCTCTGTTCCTTACCATCAAACTTAGACACAAGCCTCATGTTAACCCTAAACAGTTTATCAATCTTCTTCTGAGGTTGCTTCTCTCGCAAGTCACCGTAATTCATTACACCCTTGCAAGATGGGATAGGGAGATTAACAAAGAACTCAAGCCTATCGCCCTGAAATTCCACAGGACTATAAATGTTTTGCCTACCATCAAAAGCCGGAACAACACCGGAGAAACTATTCACATCGGTCTCCACAAGCTTCTGTTTGATCATCCGAGCAATTTCCTTTGAAGGCTGAGGAGAGATCTCAACATTGTAATGGTAAATCCTCTGTGAAGAATCAAACTTGACAAGAAAATGGTTGGCGAGGAGATAAATGACAGAACCATCTTGACCACCAAAGTCAGGTCTTTTAGCAACCACTAATGCTGCTTCTTCTATTGCTATGGACCCACTCACTTTGTTGTTAGAAACTTGTATCTTCTTCTTCTGCTGTTGTTGCTTTCTCTCCACAACTGTTGATACAGATAATGGTGGAAGAAGCAAAAAATGGGTGAGTCAAAGTCAAATTAGACTTTAATGGTTTTTGATTGAAACACAAAAAGATGCAAGTAAATCAGTACCAATAGAGAGAGTATTAAAGGAGACAGAGAGTTTGTTTTCAGACATTAACACATTAAAGAAAGAGAACATTTAAAGTAAAGTGAATATTGTACAGAGTACAGACTACAGAGAAGGAGGACCATTTAGACAATTTACACAATACTAGAGTGTGTGTGGGAAAACACACCAAAACAAGAACAACAAGAGCAAGAAAGAGATAGCCTTGAAAACCTCGTCCAATAAAAATAAACAAATCTTGACATAGGTGAGGATCCTAAACCTTTAGGCCAAGAAAAAACAAAACATGCAAAGAAGAAACCAAGACCAAAAAAAAAGATAGTTTAGTCACCTTGAGAGACAGGGAGAGATTTGTGGAAACGGGTCATTGAGCGAGGAGGAGGAAGAGGAAGTAAAGGAGGAAGAGAAGGAAGAGGAAGAAGAGGAGGAGGAGGAGGAGGAAGAGAGTTGTGAAATTGAGAGTAGAAGTAGCAGTAGTAATAGTAGTAGTAGCTAGAAGGAAGATTTGAGGCAACAAGATTAAGGTTTTGGTGAGAAGAAGGGTGCAAGAGAAAAGGAGGAGGATTGGTTTGAACATGGTGATGATGATAAGGCTTGTGGAGAAGAGGTGTTCTTGATTTGGAATTGGGGTTGTGTTTGTTGGTACTGTGATGATTATGATGACTCTGAGTTTTTTCTTCCATGGCTGAAGAGAGAAAGACCTTTGGCTTTGGAAAAGCAGAAGAAAGAGAGAAGAAGAAGAGAGTGTGGGTTTATCAGAGAGATAGAGAGATAAAAGAAGCAGAAAGGGATTGTCTGGGTTTTTGGTCAGGGAAAGGTCAAAGTCCCTTCCCTCTGTTTTTTTTATTTTTGCCCCAAATAATGAAATGATGTTATTTATGCTGTCATAAATACGCTCTAATTGTTGACAATAATAAAACAAAAACAAAAAAGAGCTCAAATGTCGAAAGATAAGTTAGACCTACTGTATATAAAAATAACAAGTACATTTGTTGAGGATATTAACAAAAGCTACAAGTAAACTATAGTTCTTGAAAAAAAAAGTTATAGTTCTTGATTATATAAACGCAATATGATTTTAAAATGTAGTGATTACCGATAATGTTTGGTGTGAGTCTAACCGATGATATTAGACATTTATATGTTTTTTCAACGGCGTAAATGATTTTTTTTTTTTTTGTTAAAGGTAAATGATTAGATAGGTCTTATATGGTTTCGTAAACCCTAAGTTGTTGTAACACATGTTTTATAAAATGGACCAAAATACACTCATTAAATCGAATTATGGGGACCATTCTATTTAATTATTTATTCTTTGTACTGTTTTCTTCGTACCTCATTAATAATACACACTTTGGCCTCTTTCACCAATTTTTTGTTTTAGGAAAATTTATACTTGTTGCAAAATTACAGCTGAATAACACAGAACCAAAATTCTAGCAACGAAAAATATGTGGAACATTATCAAAGTTAGATTAATGATTCTTTACTATTCGTAGTTTATTTTGGAAACTATTCAATAGTATTACATGAAAGCAAAATAATTCAAGAGCCCTTTGGCTTTTTTTTCATTTTTGATGGTGACCAAAACCCATAGTACCAATGGTTCCTACAATTATAGGTCCCACTATAATATATCTCGTTGAACAATTTCGTGAAAAAGATCTTGCGGTGATGAACAAGAACAATGGTCTTTAAGTCATCATATCAACATCGATATTAGGTATCAATCCTAGCCTTTTTATCATTTCCCTAAGATTGTGAAGCTATGTATCCGAATTAATCGAAGCACAGTACTAAAGATGCTCAATAATAGATTATAGATGTATGACATGGAATTTTTTAGATTCAATAAACGATATCTTTGTGAAAAATGGTCAGATTCAAAGAGTTTACTTTATGTAATGGAACACCAAATATTGATTACTGGGACCAAAGAGATTTGGTCAAAGCTAAAAGTTCCCTATAACCCCATTGTTTTTGGCTAAAATTGCTCTCTACTTTTAATCCAAATAGCTTAAACTTTAATTGATAATTTATATAGTTTTTGCCTGATTTTTTTTTTTTGGGTATAAAACTATATAGTGATGAAAAGCCGTTACTCCGACGATATTCATGTTTTAAAATTTTAATTTACGAGAATGTGGTGATGGCGACGGTTAATATGATTAACGTGGACCCTAAAACCATATTATCTACTCCATGTACAAGTTATAATTTCCTATTTTCTTTTTCATGTGTTTTCGGAAATTTTATTTAATATTGGTTACAAAGATCAAGGTCTAATTGTTCTAACCAATATAAATATCAGATGACCCGTCATATCCATTTTACCAATATCTGATTTGGACTAGAGCTCGATAAAAGAATAAAGATGGCGTAATATCATCAGAGATAAATATTCTGATACATATTTGATATTTCCATGAAATTACATTCTCTTTGCAATTTGTATTTTTTGTCTCTTTTTTCAGAGAAAGTAAAATGGTAAACATTCCGTTCACATTATTATGTTAAACGAAGAAAAAAAAAAAATATCACTCTTGTTATAATTTAGTTTTAACGTATTCTTGTAACAAACAAGTAATGTCTATAAGAGCAATGGTTAGATAAAAGTATAACGTTTAGTACTGTTATTTAATACTTTGATTACCTTTTAAATCAAAGCTGAAAAACAAGAATAAACAACTCATTGATGTAATCTATCTAATGACTGGTTCTGTAGTAAATAAAGATTTACAAATAAATTATGGTATTGAGTTTCCAATGTAGATCTCTAATGACTTTTGAGGTATATATATGCACATGCATGTACAGAGGAAGAGACAGGTAAAGTTGTATTGAAGAGGATCAAACCTCGGACGAAGAGAGAAGAGGACTAGTGAGGCTATCATTTCTGCTTCCTGATCCTGAGAATCGAAGTGGGAGCAGAGCAGGATCTTGGTATGCACTGACCAAGTTATTGTAAAACTCAGGCATTCTTGGATCGTTTCGATCTTCCTTATCTCTCTTTGTCAACACCTAAAGACACCACAAAACACAGAGAGTTAAAACCATAAATCTTGAGATGATTTCAGGTTTGCTTCTCTGTATGTGTGTATAAGAGGGATTTGTACCTCAGCAGGATAAGCAGTGAATATAGGCATGAAGCGTTTACGACAGAACTCGTTGAAGAGAAGAGTACAAACGGGAAGAGGGACAAGCAAGTATGTAGCTAGTTCCATCTTCTTTAGCGCAAATAGACCGATTGCAATTGCTTGCATAAGTACAAGAGAGAATATCATCGTATAGTGTATCATTGGCCAAAACATCCCGCCCGTATCAAACTTTGGGGCATACACGTTCATAAACTGCATCCCGAAACGCAATTGAGTGCTTAGTTCTAGTGAACAGAGAAATCTAAAGGAGTAAAAGATGTGTGTCATACATACCTGGTTTCGGTAGATGATGTATGCAAGGCAAAAGTAGAGAAGGATGAAAGGAAGAATCAATGGAGCTAAGAAGAAGTATGTAATCCCAAGAAGCCCAAAGAATAGAACTCTAGGGGTGTCTCTGTGGTACCGCATTGGCGGGACAACAAATTCATTGTCATCTGACGGTTCAAATGATCTTTTTATGTAACTAACCATGAAGGGAACTACACGGAAGAGTTCAGTCAGAGTATCTGTCCATCCTGTTGTCACAACATAAGCGATGAAAAACGAAGCCTGCAAATCATGTAAACCACTCTGAGTTGTGACCATTGTGTGTGCCAAGAAAATGGTGGGAGAAGTTTTTTAACCTGAGCCGGAACAGCCACAGCCAACTTGACAGGAATTTCCTTTGGATCGAGAATCACAGAAAGCTTGTAGAAGGCTGATCCAGAGAAAACAGTTGCGAAAAACACATTCCATATTGTGAACCAGATCACCTTGTTACAAGCACTCTTTTGTATATCGCTGTGGCAAATGTGCCCTTGGATAGAAGAGAGAAACTCCATGATGGGAGGTACAACTTTCAGAGACGTCTGAAGTATAAGACTTGGAAGGTATCCAGTTATTATTTGACTTACAACTTTCCTGCAACAGAGATTGCTAACGTTTAGAACAATAAGCTTAAAGTGTTGTTCAAAGGTAATGGAAATGAAAAATCTTCACTTACATTGATAGGATCAATGTCAAGAACGGGAACATAAATTCTAGTGCAGGCAGGTTGGTGAGACCTTGGACAAGTACTACTGGAACAAGAAACAAGATAGTAAGGAGGAGACAAGCGAATACAACGAGAATTTTAGCAAGCCATTTCTGCATAAATGATGCAGAGAAGAAAGGCCAGTGGACGTCATGAGGTTCTGGTGCTGGTTCTGTAAGCCAGTAAGTGGGGTTGATTGATTGTGGCATGTGGAGTGCCGTTGCAGCACCATATCGGGACTTGAATGATACAAAAGCAGCTCGAACTTCCTACATGATCAGAGAAAACATGCAAATAATGAGAAGGAAGTATCCAGTTCGCAGGTTATATATATTTGCAACCCAGACATAATAAACAGGTGCTAAACCATCTGTGACATACTTTTCCAGGTGCTGAAACTTCAGCTTGCCCTATTCGTATATCCTGTTCCAATTCCTGTAACACGCTCTCATAGTGACCCTCGGGAGTGTCTCTGCGACTGAAGAATCTCATTGGCTTCTTCTTAACTGGCTTCTTATGTTTCACTTGTTTATATAACTTTTTAGCCTTATCCTGCAAGAGCCAGGATTGAAAAAGAAGCGTAACCAAGAGTAATAGGTCGCAATAGCATGCACATACAAAGATATACTGTCGTATGGAAAGCAGATAGGTGTTTCTGTACTTACAACGACACTCCGAAGTTTACTTGTTCGATGGATAACCACATGAGACAGGTAAGTAGAGAAATGGCTTTCTCCAAAGAACCTATCAACAGTGTCGCTCACACTGCTTCCATCTGTAGAGGGAATATTGCGAACCAATATGGTAAACTGTTCTGGCTGAGGTTTGGATGAATAGAAATGCTCAATCCTTTTCAAGGCAATATATCTAAATTCCTGTCAAAGAAAGCCGATACTAGTGACAATATATCTGAGTGAGAGCCAATACTAGTAACCAGAAAACATGCCCTTACAAAGTAAAGAAGACAGCAGACAAATGCAGTCACAAGATATATAGCTCCAAAGTGAACCCATAGCCTTAAAGAAACCAAAAAGATATTTAGTATTTCGTAGAGTTAGAGTACTAATAACATAAAAGCTTGAAGTTACCATTGTGAGCGGATTTTGAGGTTAGCAACAGAAAAAAGATCCAAAGAATTGGCAGACCAGTCAGCGTAGTCAATCACGGTAAGTTGATCTCCGAAGCAGTTCACAGGCAAGAGAACAAAAACACCAATGATCCCAGCAAACAAGAACACTTTCAAACTACATAATAAGAGAATAATCACCATTCATGCATGATATGTTGTTAAACAAAGAAAAGGTACCAAACTCAAGTCTTCCCAATTTACCTGAAAGTAATCATTCTCATAAACACAACACCATCCAAACCAGAGGCTTCCATCAGTTCCTTTTCTGTTGGCCTCCATGATTTCCAAATCCATTTAACAGAAGGTATATACCTTGCTACTTTGTTACGTCTACGTTTAGACGTCCCATCTGCGAGTCTACGAGGTAAAAAAACCTCGTAGTTGTGTGGCTGCTTCCTCAGTACAGAGTAAAGTATGAAGAACAATACACATAGGCAAGAGTTTATCCCAACAGACATAAGAAGTGCAGACAAAAGCATCTTTTAAGAGTACAATCTCAATACTTCAAAACCTCTTAACAAAACTCAGCTCTGTAACTGCATAAATACATCAAATCAGAAGCGCAAAGACACGTCAATGGAACTGTACGAGATTCTTCATCAATGGAACTCAATCAAAAACTAAAGAATCTATCTACACAATCTGGATTCAAATACAGAGATCTGAATTCACACTGATCAAACCTGAGAGTTTTTGAGACGGCGAAATCAAAAATCCCAAACACGAGTTTGAAATCTTCAACGTCAGTGATCGGAACAAAACGCACCACGAATCAGACAAGACTACAATAAATCTGAATTCGTATTATTGATTGCCCATAAAATAAAATAAAAATTCAAAGTGAGATTGATTGTGAAAGCAAAGAGCAGAGATGAGAACAAAGCAGATAATTTTTAATTTTCAAATCCGACGGTCAATATATCACGTTTATCAATTCATTCTAGATTTTATAATTAGGCCTTCCCTCGCTTACCATTTTTCGTTTATTGATATTACCCGAATTACCCTCACTTTGCTTGGGATTATCTGAATGCTTGTAGGACTGTGTGAGGGTATTTTTGTAGATATTGGAAAGTCAACTGTTTATCAGCACCGGTCGATGAAGGAAGCAGCACTATTATAAAATGTAAAACCTTCATGGATCTCAGTGTTTTTGCCTTGTTTTTTTTCTAACACCTTTGTATATTGTTTTGTTCTGTTGGATTTGAATAAGATTTTTTTTTTTTTTAAAACAATAATATGTAACATGACGAAGCAATCTTGCCCAAGGTTCCACTTGTATTCCAAAATATGAAATGGCATGTTTACATGTATAAGTGGCTCTGATTGAGATAAGCTGTATATACTAGACAAACACAGTTTATTTGATTTTAAACCATCAAAGTTTCCTAAGGACCAACAAATCTAAACAAAAAACTGAACTTATCTTGGAAAAAAGCAAATGATGCAACACAAACCAAATTCCTAAGTCTTAGAGAACATGGTAGCAGCAGCCATTGATCTAATGTACAACACCCAAAAGAAGAGAAGATTGTTTGTTTGGGGCTTTGGGCTAAGAAAACAGAATGAGCATACGTAACCAACCGTGTCGAGTTCTAGATAACCTTTTTCTTCTCGAAAAACGTCTTCAAGTGCAAAAACTGCATCCCTGCCACTCCTATGCAAACGAAAAACGAGAGAACACTCAACCATGCCATTTTCGTGTTAGTTGACCGGTTCAGATCTTGCATCTCTTCTTCCCTAAGACCACACCAAAATCAAGTCATATAAACACTATCTTCACAATACCAAACAATATAGAAACAAAAGACAAAGACATTTACCTATCTCTAAGATAATACATCTCTTCATGAATCGAGTTAACGGTATCAAGAAGACTCTTAACCTCAAATTCCATAACCTGCCACAAAATGCATAACAACAACACACATGAAGGATCAACATTGTAACACTAGCTTCAACAATTTCGTTATCTATGCATATAATCAGAATCAGCTTCTCATAATCTAACTTACTTCGACTTGGCTCTTCTTAGCAACATTAGCCCAGCTTTTAGATTGAACACCAGTCTTCCACTCAAAATCAATACTCAACGAAACCTCAGGCTTATGATCAACAGCAGTGAAGCAAGCCATGTAATCACCTGCTTCTATAGCAGAGAACGCGAATTGTCCCGAATCAACTTGTTCCGCGTGATGGTAATTGTTCCCGGAATTAGACGTCACCTTTTATATTCGAAATTTCAGATCTATAATCGAACAAAAACAAAATTCGAGAAATTAGGTCAAAATTTGGAGAGATCTGTGTACCTTGACGGAGATTTTGTGAGATTGTGGTAAAGCTTGACCTTCGTGAGGATTATCGATGTTGTATTTACCAACAGTCATTGAATTGCTTTTGATGTCTTCGGCGATACATTTTGTGCGACCTGAGTGTAGATCGAAGTGAAGCGAGTGTGAAATCGGTGACCAAATCGCTAGAATTAGAAGCATCTTCCATAGTTTTTGCGATTGGAGAAACATTTTGAGAAATCCAGAGAAATCGAATCTCTCTTCGTCTTCCTTTTGCTGCTTCCTCGATTGTGTAGACGAAGCTCGATGACGATGTAAGGGATTTTGACACGTGTATATGTCTTATTGGTTAAGCACACATATTCAGAACACAAACCGAACTAGAATTATTTGGTTCTTCGCAATAGACCGGTTTGGTTTAGCATTATGTGGTCCTTGCGAGTCAAGGAAGGAGGAATGTTAGGGTAACACAAATTTCCTTTTTTTTAGGGTACAAAAAAATGCAGAAGTTTCCTTTTTTCGATTACAAAAAAAGGAAATTAAACAACGAACACTCTTACTTCTAAGTTCTAATTATTGAGTTACTTGAGTCGTAAGTGATCATCTATCTTTTTTTCTGCAAAAAAAGCATGAGAGAATGTCAGAAAAGATTAACGAGCTTCTTCGTTACTGTGAAGAGAACTTTGAGAGAGGAAATCTCGAACTTGCATTACGATGTGCTATTTCAATCTCCATAGCGAATCCTGACGCTCCTGAACCTTATGCACACGTCGCTGCTTATAGAATCCTTTTGACGGTAGCTAAAAATCGCACGGTCACAGGAGAGCCTGACTGGTACGCTGTGTTGGGAATCAACAAACGCGGATCCTCGAAGTCGGTGGAGAACTCCATTGAGAGGCGGTGTGAGGAGATCATAGAGGTGTTGGATGGCGAGACTGGGATCTTCAAGGCTGTTTTGAGGGTTTATGATCTGGTCAGAATCGGTGTGGCAGAGTTGATGGACGAAGATAGGAGAAGAGCCTATGATCTCCGTTCTGGATTTTCTAATATCAACTGAACCTAAAACTTTTTAAAGTTAATTTTTCAATAAAAGTTTGTAAACTCTATGGATTCATGTATATATAAGTCTTTACATGTTGACTTGATTCGTCGGAAAAAAAACACAAACTGTTCCTATTAAGGCTAAGATCTGTATTATTTTAGTGGTCAATCATCAGACATAATCACAGAGAGAGTGTGTGTGTTATTAACTCATTACGATGGCTCAGTCGTCTTTGTCAATGTCGTCGTCATCATAGTAATGGAAAGGATGTGGAACTGACTTGAAGGCTCTGTATTTACCCACATTGTTCAAGTGCTCATTCTCCAACCTGAAAGTTTAACTCCACATTAGTAATCATTCATTTCATTCATAACAAGTTGGACCTTTTTATATAGAACAAATTGTTACCTGAAGAAGCTCCATATTCCCCGGCGAACAATCTCTAAACATGAAATAATGCTTGTTACTGCGATTTTGTGAAGTGACTTCAAGTTGAACTCTAGCACTAGCTGCATCCATGCCACTCTTAGAATCACATTCACTACCTGTCAAAATCAAATCTTATTTAACCAGAATCTTTATGACATGACATTCATTCCCTGATGTTGTAATGTTACTACTTACCATGGCTGCAAAATAGACACTCTTGTGAGGGACAAGCAGTTTATCCCTTAGGTATGGATTCTGGGAATGCCTACGGAGGAGTCCCCAGTCTATAACAATGTCCCAGAATGTGTTCATTCCTGTCGCTACACCTGAGCTTACAAGAGCCAAAATCATCCAAGTGCGACCCTTTTTCAGTTCATAAGCTGTTCTTATAATGACTGCAATGATTGTCAACATATATTTCAGAGCATTGTATCCATGTACGGATTCTTTTTCTTCGCATAATCTGCGTATGCACTGCCAAAAAAGTGACATGTAAGTTATAGATTCGGATGTGACAGAATCAGTGAAGGCAGTAACAAAATAAGAAGAGGTTGAATTGTGTGATACCTGGAGAAAGCGGAGCCAGTAGGGTATAACAGCAACGACAAAGTAGAAGGCATTGTAAACACCATGACTATGACACTTGTTTTGCCTCTGTAAGTACTCTCCTAATCCATAGTAGCAAATGAATAGCTCAAAACTCCTTATGGCTTGTACCTTAACTTACCAAAACAAATAAGATCAGCTTATTATTCTGAATCATTTACTGTCAACATAAACATTAATGCAAATACAAAACCTGGCTGGTTAGGTGGTCTCCCAAGAAAAAATCTGGAAGTGTGACCTGTGATAAAGGATAAAAACATGGAGATGAGATCTTTGCTGTTCTTGGTTTTAGCAACTGGTACACAATAATATTGAATAACATCCAGAAGTCAGTTTAATACGATTACCTCGTAGAGAGGAGCACATATGCAGTGAAACAGTGATCGTATAAAGAAAAACCGACTTGAGCGGTATATGATGTTGAAAGGACAAAAAAGTATGAAAAGAACAATCTGCACATAAAAACGATTGTTTAAGCCAAAATGTATTCCATCTTATTACAAGATTGCATAAAACGTAAACACTGAAATATTATCTTACAGTGACCAAACCCAAAGGAATAACTTCAGGGAGTGTCTTATGATCTTTCATCCTCCAGTCCATATCAAGCTGCAAATTTAGCAGGAAACAGATGAAAGCAAGAACCGCAAGACCGGTGCTAACCAGGAAAACTTCTCTGTAACCCAACTCTGTTCCCTGCTTGAAACCAAAGATGAAGGTATAGTTGACTCTATAACGCCTCCAGAAGTAAATATTCGCTGAGTACATGAGCATATGAAGAATGATGAATCCAAATAAGCTGCAAGACATGCAATGTTTGTGAGTTTGAGCCAAGAAAGATCTGTTTTCTATGTTTCTGAGCAACATGTTCTGAGTCATTGAATAAAGAATAATTGCCTGTAAAGAGGGATAATATTTGCCATGTATTCAGTACCGTAGTTCTTCTCCATGATCTTTCTACTTTCTATCTTGAAAACAACAGCAATAACAAGTGCAATAGAGCAACCAGAAAAAAAACCTGTAGGAAGTTGAAGAGCAAATATCAGTGAACAATTGTAAATATTGAAATCTGATTCTCTTTTTCTCTCAGATTCCCTTACCAGAGAAGAATGTAACCCTGTGCCTTTCTCTTTTAACTTTTGGCCTTAGACACTTCATGCCTTCTCTTCGATTACCACTTGAAAAGTGCTTAACGAAAGTTACCTCTACTCTCTCCAGGAGTCTGTTAACCTAAATCAGAATACAGTGAACAAAACAATTTGATGTACTAACATAACGGAAAACTGATTCTACAACTGAAGTATACACAAACCTCATCAGAACTCCCAATCAATGAATTATCCACAATTTTCATGTAGTTCCGGGATGCATTCCTCGAAGCAATCTACAAATTAACCAAATAAAAAATGAGTATATCGCATGATTCCGTTGTTCATGCATTGATTTAGCTCTGCAGTAAGAAATCTGTAAGGTATAGAAGAAGCTCTTCATATCTAACCTTCTCATACTTCTTCATGATTTTTGAAAATGCCAGAAGATTCATGAAACTGATTCAAATTACACAAACATAGACAAATCAGTAGCATAGCAATAAAAGAGAAAAATTACATGAGAGATATAACTTTGGCTGAATCTTTTCCTCACCTATATTCCTTCAGACGACGAAGTTTCTGATAGAACTCACTAAATACAAGCCTCAACTGTTCCTCTGCTTTTTTCAACCCTTTCTTAGAGATTGGTTCATTAGAATCCCCAAAAACTCCTTTTAAGGTAGATATAGGAGATTCAAGCACATCATTCATCTTAACACGTTCAAGAATTTCACGGAGATCCTGCTTATCACCAATACTGGCTTCCTCTTCATCTCCATCAGTATGAGAAACCGGGACAATATCAGCCACGATATGGGAGGCCTCTTCTTCTGGAATGTTAGTTCTTTCAATACCATGTACCATATCTGTGTTCGCAGTCCCTGCAAATATATCAAGAATTCAATAAACTGATCATAAATAGGCGCTTCTCATAATCATTCTTGTCGTATTTGCTTACCCGGTGATCTCATTGTGCTATCAGATGTATCTACTACAACCTTATCAGAGGGATGCTTCTCCAAATTCAGATTATCTGCATCAGGTTTTTGCATCTTGACCCTTAACGCAATCAAGGCATCCATTTGTTTATCTAGCAAAGCCGCTTCCTCCAGCACTTCCTCAACTTTATCCCGGTAAAACTTGTTAACTTTGTTTAGATTCTCATCAAGCTTCTTAAAGAACAACTCTTCGAATTCCCCTCCTTCTTCAGACTTTTTAAGAAACTTTGTCTCGTACAACTTGCGAGAACCATCTTCCTGCACCGTGTCAACTTTTATGACTTGGTCCTCAATATCCCCTGCATGTTCACTATGCCTAGGATGGAACGACAAACCACTAAACGAACGGTGCAACGCCTCCGCCTGCTGCGACACTCTCGACGCTGCTCTAGTCAGCTTACTGTGCTTGTAGCTACGTATTTCTTTCAAAACCCTTTTCATGCCATTGTAATCCATATAAGCTTCTACCCACTCTGGCACCATTTGCTTCTTAAATATTTTCCCAAACTTCATCTTTTTTGCAGCTCAATTCAACCAGATCAACGCTATATCACAAACTTCATCGAAAGAGAACAAAAATAACATGAGATATTTGAGAAAAACCACACATGCAGGTAGAAATTAACAGAATCTAGGGTTCGTATCGTAGTTTGTAGTAACATTCCCACCAATAACGTATAAGAAGAGATCAACAATCGGCAAATCTATGATACTATACTACTACAGAGAAATTTGAAGCAAAATTACAGTTACGGGATCCATTAGAACAACCTTGATAGATAGAAACCTTGATCAGGAGAAATGTAGCTCGATGATAGAATTGCTTAATCAGGAGCTTCTCTGCAATGAAGAACGTGAAAGAAGACGTCGGAATTTGAAACGCCTCTCTCTCTTTACTCTCGCCGACTGTCACTACAGTATTTGTTTTTGCTTGTATTAGTTGGTTACTGCTCTGCGGCTGAGAACTTGTTCCTCTTCTTCTACAGCCGTTGGATTCTTCTGTGACTGCCACGTGCCGTCCGATAGATGGAATGCGTGTTGAACTGTTGCGGCCGAAATTGATGGAAGGAAGCAAATCAGAGATACTGGTTGACCATTTTTTAGCCCACCAGAGGATGACACGTGTTGCTTCGTGTGCTTTAGTGTGGCAGTGAAACCGTGTAATTTGGCAGTATGGGTACCTTTACGCTTAAACCAATCAAAAACCACTAATTTTTCTTGTTCTATTGATTGCGATCAAATCTGCACTTAAAATGCAAACATTTTCCAAATTACTTCTTCTGCAAAACCTTTTAAAATGGTCGAAGATGTAGAACAAATGTAGTTGTTTATTACCTCTAAGTATGTGTGTACTAATAAAGTAAACAGTATTTTGATTCTGCAGGAGATAACCAAATGGTATGCCAAAACAGAGTGAATCTAAGTCCACTGTCTTCATCATAACCCTTGAGTTCTCTACTAAGAACCGCATATGCCAAAACAAATTCAGCAAGGCTAATTCATATAGTAAGTCTTGATCAGTTGTTTGAATTGCTTTGTTCATCAGGTATTTCCCGCTCACCGCTGCAGCAGTAGAAATGTGGCAGCTTAACTCGCCCACAACTCCTGAAACACACAAACAGTGTCATGATCATAATGCTGCTGGTACCAAGAATGGAAAAATGATGATAACAAGTTGTTTCAAGGAGCAGTCTCAGGTTTTTGACAGAGCAACAAACACACACAACAAGCTCTTCCATCAAAGTCTGTTTATGTTGGTAACTCACAGTTTCCACCGATAATGGTAGAAAGAAACAGAACATTAAATTGGAAAGACTATACATTTTGAAAAAAAAAAGCCTTCTTTGACTCTCAAAGCCAGATTCAATGCAAAACTTAACCTTCGAAAACAAATTAAGAACCATCAAAACGTAACAGAGAATGATCTGATACCTGCAACGGATGATCACAGGAGTAGGTTTAAGGGCCTTTGGTCCATTTCTAATCCCTCTCTTGTGTTTAGAAATCTGCATCATTCACGAAATGAAAGCTATTGTTAACCAAATCATTCTCAAAGGAAAGTTCTGTCCTGGATAAAAGAATCAATGATTTTGAACCTAAACAAAGCAAATCAGATTACATTTTAACAGATCTCAAAGATAATGAGCAGAGAAATTGCCAAAGAGACAATAGTTATGAGATAATGGCCTTTGATTCTTGGCTATTAAAGTCAAAATCTTTCACTCATGATCTCAAGATCGAATCTTTACCAGAAAATAGTAAACCTCCCTAAAACCCTAAAGGGAAAAAAATCAGCTAACAGAGAAAAATTCCCAATGCAGCAACACTTTAAAACCCTAAAACTCTCAAATTTCATAGTTGTAAATGGAAAGCTTGGAAAACAATTATACCTTCTTCTTGGGAACAGCCATTAGCTCCATGCATCCACCAAAAGAGAAACTCGGACTCGGGAAACCGAATCTGAAATTGTTTTCATCATTGTAAGAATCCGATTGATCCTGATAAAACTCCGGTAAATCAAGCGGCGGCGAAGCGGTAGAGCGATCAATGGCGCCGTTCAAGGGAGGAGAGATCGCGGAAACGTGGCTGAAGCTTCGGGATTCTATAATTCGCCGGGATTCAACCACGGCGCGTTTTAGCGTCGTCAGTCTCAACGCCATTGGTGCAAACTCTCCGGTCGTTGTAAGGTGATGGCGATACAACAAAGGTAATGAGCGCAGACAAAACGGTGTCGTTTCATCCTAACCAATAACTAAAAACCTGATACGGACCGGCTGGTCAGACCGGTTGAACCACGAACTCTGGTCCAAGTTTTATATACAGTTCAACCTCCGGTACGGTTTATAAAATCATGTATCTAGGACTAGGAGTTACTTTTTTATTTCACGTGGTAAAAAAGAATTTAGTAAAGCATGTGTTTGGAGTCGATCAAACTAAACATAAATAAATCGTTTCCTCCCTTAACAAAGATGCTAGAGATTAAGATGACGACTTTGATTAATCATCGTCACTCATTTTTGTTTGGTACCTAAACAAAGATGCTAGAGCTTTTGTTTGCGTCATCTCATCCTAATCCTCATATCTTTTAATCCTATCCTTTTTGTCCCATGCCCTATATAGTAAGTATATAAATGGCTTGGTCATGTATATGAACATAGGATGAATCATGTGCCATTTGAAATATAGTATAATATAGGTATACACTTGTTAAAAATAGCTTTTGGGGTCTTTTAATTTGTTAGAATAGCATTTTTAGATTATCCATTAACAAGGTAGTTTCTTGAAAACTTTTGGAAAAAGATATTCATGCATGCGCCACTTATAACGGTTTAATGAACAAATATTTGTGGTAACATATATATATTTCAAAAATCATGAGATTAACCAGAATAAACAGCTAGTCATAATACGAAACTAAAACTAAACCGATATAATAATAGAAAAATCGATCTCGATAATTGTCATGAACTTGCTTTTCTCATCTTTCCCACTTTATGCTGGAACGTTCCTTCGCATCTTGTTGTAATCTCACAAAATCCTTTTTCAAGAAACTTGTGTCCAGTCTGAACTGAGCGTGTGGAGTTTTTGGACAAATGTAGTAAACAAAGATTTAATCACCCAATTAGGGAATGGTAATGACACTATTAGATAAGAACATGCGTAATTAGTGACATCTAATTATTGTTTAATCAGAAATCCGCCGTGGCGCGTGGGTGTATGCCCTCCACAATCCTTATCCCTAATGACTTTTTCTGTGAAAACGACACGTCATGCAGAGGCAAAAATATTGGACCCCCCAAGCCTTATAAGCTGCCACGTTTCGTCCAAAATTTAAGACGAAGAATTGTCTTCTCACGAGTTCTTTTGTACTTTTGTTTTTGTAATACAAGTTCTCTAGTACTTCTCCTTTGGATTCTTTTTAATTACTAGTTTGTTTATGGAAAATGTGTATTATGTATGCAATATAAAGTTATTGATGTGTATATTTTGTCATGCAAACTATATCGTGGAGAAAATAATGTTGCTTATGACTTTTGATGGTTGGGCTTCTTACATTTGGATAATGGATAGGGTAGACAAAGATAGGAGGAAAGCAATAATAGCGAAATGAAGACGAATATTTGGGGAAATAGGACAAACGAATATACTTTGGTTTGAAATGGAGATTCACCTAAATACTAATACTAAAGCCATGCAATGCATCCAAACAAATTAGTGGTCAAGCACACTCAATTATATGTCCACGAAGACCTTTAGAATCTTCACAACCAAAAGCTATTTTCTACACTACCTGATAATTCTGACTTAATTCTTGTTCCTAAAATGTATAATGAAGCTTAATGAATAATTAATTAAAGACACAACCTATCTGCGATTTCTACAAGTTGTAGAGAACAAACATTACTTAAAATAAATACCGAAATTCACCATCAAATAATAGAAATATAAATTAGAAATATATACAGTCAAAAAAGTTTGGATAGACATGTTTATCAGATATCATGAAAGACAAAGGGTATGACTATTGTTAAATCATTTTAGAATAAAATAATTTATTATACTATATATATATATTATTTTATTTGTATAAGGTTTATTATACTATGTATTCTGCAAGTAATTGTCATCCAATAGTAACATTATCTATTTAAACTGAAAATGTTTCATGCTTCAGTTACTTTAAGGAATTATAGCTGGAAATTATTATACAATGTATTTTGTTAAGTAATTATTGTCATCCAATAGTAACATTATTTATCTATTTAAATTGAAAAATGTTTAAGCTACTTTAAGGAATAATTATAGCTAGAAAAAGTATATACTTTTATGTCACATGTTTTGAGGTGAAGAACAATAATAATTACTCATTAAGTTCACCAGTCACACTCCAACATCTAATTCAAATTCTTTTACAAAGCTTTTTAACCGTGGCTGTTTGATGACCATTTGACAAAATTTAGAATATTAGAAAAACAATAGGATAGGGATAATATAGGACATTAAACTATTGGAAGGACAAAATGAATTATTATTTAAAATTGTAATGTACCAACCAATAAGAAAGAAGTGACGCACAGTAAACGACAAAAAGCTCAAGCATAAAAACCCCAATCTTCTCTGCTTTCTAAACATTTCAAGCACCTTGATAACACACCAAGAAGAAAAAAACAGTTCCTGTTCCATTAGATTTTTTCTTCTAAATTGTCTGAAAATCATGGAAGTAAATTCCAATTCTACCCTCCCTCCAGGGTTCAGATTTCATCCTACCGACGAAGAACTCATCGTCTACTATCTTCGAAACCAGACCATGTCTAAACCATGCCCTGTCTCCATCATCCCAGAAGTCGATATCTACAAATTCGACCCATGGCAATTACCCGGTTAGACCTGGTTATCTTTCTATGATAATCTATTCTTCTAGATGTTCATGTTTAGAGCTACTTGGCTTATTTGCTATTTTTCGTTTTGTATTTGACAGAGAAAACAGAGTTTGGAGAAAATGAGTGGTATTTCTTCAGCCCTAGAGAAAGAAAGTATCCAAACGGAGTCAGACCAAACCGGGCAGCTGTTTCCGGTTATTGGAAAGCAACCGGTACAGACAAAGCCATTCATAGCGGTTCGAGTAACGTAGGTGTCAAGAAAGCTCTTGTCTTCTACAAAGGTAGACCTCCTAAAGGTATCAAAACTGACTGGATCATGCACGAGTATCGTCTCCACGATTCACGTAAAGCATCAACGAAACGTAACGGTTCCATGAGGGTACGTAAGCAGAGGAAACAAAATGATTTAACTCATCTTTATTATATTATTACTTGTTTGTTAAAAATGTTTTTATATTTTTGCAGTTAGATGAATGGGTACTGTGTAGGATATACAAGAAGAGAGGAGCCGGGAAGCTTCTGAATGAGCAAGAGGGTTTCATTGACGAAGTACTAATTGATGAGACAACAGTTGTTGTTAACGAAGCAGAGAGAAGAAATGAGGAAGAGATAATGATGAATATGACGTCGACGAAACTTCCAAGGACGTGTTCGCTGGCTCATTTGTTGGAAATGGATTACATGGGACCAGTCTCTCACATTTTCACCGATAACTTTACTCAGTTCGATCATATTCATCAACCTGACTCGGAGTCTGGATGGTTCGGGGATCTACAGTTTAACCAAGACGAGATCTTAAACCATCATCGTCAAGCTATGTTTAAGTTCTAGTGATGGGTTTAGTAAAAAGATGTGCTTGGAATGTTAATTACTTTGGTAGATATTTTGTTAGTTTGGGTACATGCAAGAAAATTGTAAAATATTATAACTAAAACCCAATGGGATTTTATATTTCTCCCATATGAATGTGAAATGAAAATCAATGTTTAATTAAAAATTAAGTTTGTTTCAGCATGATAAGACGAAGTCAAGGTGTTGATTTGCATTACGAACTAATAAAACAAAAGTCTTTTGATTTATTAAATACACAACAAAAAGACTTTTGTACTATACGATGGTTTTAAAATGATAAAAAGAGAGATTGAGATTACGTTAACTTGGAATGAAAAAGTCGATGACGTGTGGAGGAATCAACGCCAGATACAATGCATTTTGGGTTACTTATCTTTGTCGTTTTATTAGATAACGAATGTTACTTGTCGTCATCATCGTACTTTAAACCTCATTTTGATTCAGTCTGCGCAGACTCAAACATTAGTGGATGGAACTTATCATAAATATGTGGACCCTTTTGTGCTAATTTCAATTTTGACCGGTTTTGGTGTACCAAACACGGTTTAACAAAACCAAGAACACACACCAAAGAAGTGTTGCGAAGAAGGCATAATAAAAAGACTGTTAGTTGATTAGTAGATTGCTCACAGACTTTGGCTGATGGCTAAACAATATAAAAACTCTTATGAATTATTTAGAACTTATTTTTCAGATTTCAAAGAGGTAAAAAATGTCATTGTGTTTGGTTATAGCTTGTATGGTTACATCATGGATCTTCTTGCACCGATGGGGACAAAGGAACAAGAGTGGTCCAAAGACTTGGCCTTTGGTTGGAGCCGCGATCGAACAGTTGACCAATTTTGATCGAATGCACGATTGGCTCGTTGAGTATCTTTATAACTCAAGAACAGTAGTGGTTCCTATGCCATTCACCACTTATACATACATAGCTGATCCCATCAATGTTGAATATGTCCTCAAAACCAATTTCTCCAATTACCCAAAGGTGAAAAAAACACAAACTCTTTATATCAATATAATGCATTAATGTGTTGTGACTTTTTGATGTTTTGTGTTAATAAGGGAGAGACTTACCATTCATATATGGAAGTTCTTTTGGGAGATGGAATTTTCAATTCAGATGGTGAGCTTTGGAGAAAACAGAGGAAAACCGCGAGTTTCGAATTTGCTTCCAAGAATCTCAGAGATTTTAGTACTGTAGTGTTTAAAGAGTATAGTCTCAAGCTCTTCAATATCCTTTCCCAAGCATCTTTCAAAGACCAACAAGTAGATATGCAGGTAAGAATCCATCAATCACTCAAATCTATAAACTTAGTGTCTCTTACATAACATCCTTTTATGGCTCTAGGAATTGTTGATGAGAATGACTTTGGACTCCATATGTAAAGTTGGATTTGGTGTGGAGATAGGAACATTGGCTCCAGAGTTACCAGAGAATCACTTTGCGAAGGCTTTTGATACCGCGAATATAATCGTAACACTTCGTTTCATAGATCCTCTTTGGAAGTTGAAAAAGTTCCTTAACATAGGCTCTGAGGCATTGCTTGGTAAGAGCATAAAAGTCGTCAATGATTTCACTTATTCAGTCATAAGAAGAAGGAAAGCAGAGTTATTAGAGGCACAAAAATCTCCTACCAACAACAACAAGGTACAAAACTTGTTACAACTCAAAAATGTCAATATATGCACTTGTCACATTATTAACATTTATTTCTCATATGTAACCAGGTGAAGCACGATATACTCTCGAGGTTTATCGAGATCAGCGACGATCCAGATAGCAAAGAAACAGAGAAAAGCCTAAGAGATATTGTCCTCAACTTTGTAATAGCTGGAAGAGATACAACAGCAACAACTCTCACTTGGGCTATATACATGATAATGATGAATGAAAATGTTGCTGAGAAACTTTACTCAGAGCTACAAGAACTCGAAAAAGAAAGCGCAGAAGCGACTAATACATCATTGCATCAATACGATACAGAGGATTTCAGTTCCTTTAACGAGAGGGTAACGCAATTCGCAGGACTATTGAACTACGATTCCTTGGGAAAACTTCACTACTTACATGCTGTGATAACAGAAACACTTCGTCTCTACCCTGCAGTTCCTCAGGTATGCAAACCATAGAATCCATTTATAAACAAAGAAAAGAAAGAACGTATATACGATGTTTTAAACTATGCGTAGGATCCGAAAGGAGTATTAGAAGATGATATGTTACCAAATGGAACAAAAGTAAAAGCTGGAGGGATGGTTACATATGTACCTTACTCAATGGGTCGTATGGAATATAATTGGGGATCCGATGCAGCATCGTTTAAACCCGAAAGGTGGCTTAAAGATGGAGTCTTTCAAAATGCATCCCCATTCAAGTTCACTGCTTTTCAGGTATAATCCAAGATTTTGATTAATAACACGAGTGAAAGATTTTGAACATCAAACATTTGTTGTGTGAATGTAGGCTGGACCTAGGATATGTTTGGGAAAGGATTCAGCTTATCTTCAAATGAAGATGGCAATGGCAATTCTTTGCAGATTCTATAAGTTTCATTTGGTGCCAAATCATCCTGTCAAGTATCGGATGATGACGATCTTATCCATGGCTCATGGTTTGAAGGTTACTGTATCCAGACGTTCATAGGAAAAGAAAAAGAAAAAACTATTCAAGTCAAATCCATGTGAAATGATCCAAGAAGAGATATAAAACCTTTATAACTAATTTGTACTCAAGAAGATCAAATTACACTTGAGAGTCAAAATTTTCCTTTTTACTACCGTAAATTCCAATCAAGAAATAAGAACATCCAATGTAAACCCACTTAAAAAAATTGTGTTGTTGGTAAAGTATAGAAGTTATTGAAAGGGAAAATCACTTTCTTACCGCTACTTTTTACCTCTTCTATTCAAGTATAGTTTACCATTCTTTCGTCCCGCTAAAACGACCATCTCCAGTGAGAGTGTTTTTTTCTAGTTTAGAGACTCCCGTTAAAATTATGTTCGAAGAGGTCGGAGGCTCGGAGCTGAGCTCGTCGGGCTTTGGCTCATGGGCCGATTTATCGATTTATTAAGATCAGTGTATTCTTGTTTCGAACCTAGTGAACCGGAGAATGCGAAAACACTCTCCTACAAAAACTAATAATCTCCTGCCAAAACAGATTCGATGACGGGCGACGAAACCTACTAATAAAAACTAGGGAATCTTTTTGTATAGGAATATTCGGCCCATTAAGGCCCAAATCTCCACCTTTTTTTTTGAAAAGAAGAGAATATTTGCTGCGTTAAGTTGAGGCATCGTCATCGTGAAACGTGCAGCTCCGGAAAAAAAAAAAATCACTAAAATAACCAGATCCGATCTACTGCCCCGGTTTCTCGCCGGAATCTCCATACTGTAACCGGCGATCATCTTTCAGGTAAATCACTTCTACTAAACTCTGTTTCCGCTTAATTTTTCCCTTCTTCTTCTTGATCATTCATGTTCGAGTAAAGATGAAACCGTTGCTTGAAGGTTTTATTAATGGCGATTTCTAATGTGATTTAGAGTTCATATCTAGATCTTTATAAGATTCGATTTCTCCTTCCACGGCTTTTATATTGAATTCGCGGGAAAGTGGACTTTTTCTAATCATTGAATTTGTACTGAAAACGATGTACATGTATAGTATTTGTTCTGGACTTTGAATTTGAAAACATACTTTTGTTAAACTCAGTTATGGAAGACGTGAAGGGGAAGGAGATTATTGATGAGGCTCCTATTGACAACAAGGTTTCAGATGAAATGGAGAGTGAGGTGATTTTTTGAATTGTTTCTTTCTTTTACTGTTGGAGTTTAGCTACTAGAGTTTTAGGTTAAGGGAACATAGCTATGATCTCTCTCTGTATTTGGAAACTTTTCGCGGTTTGGATATCGACCATTGTTTTTGGTATTCGATTGTAGGAAAATGCGATCAAGAAAAAGTATGGAGGATTGTTGCCAAAGAAGATTCCGTTGATATCTAAGGTAGCTTAGTTTTTTTTGCCTATTGTTACAATGAGAAGCGATCATTTTGATACGGTTCTTCGCCATTTTTTGATTAGAGAAGCTGATATAGCTGCGTTTATGTTTCGTTTAAGGACCATGAACGCGCGTTTTTTGACTCTGCTGATTGGGCTTTAGGCAAGGTTAGTCTTGCATACCACCAACCTTTGTAACTATCCTTGAGTCTTTCTTTTTCTTCATGCTACTGTTTTAAGTTACTAAAAACTTGAAGTTGACATTTTCATCAGCAAAAAGGACAGAAACCGAAAGGACCTTTGGAAGCTCTCCGTCCAAAACTGCAGGTAAAGTGAAGACTTTGCCTTTCTTTGTTTCTCCATTTGTTTCTTGCTTTTCGCGTTGACATTAATCTCTGTTCACGCAACAGCCAACCCCGCATCAGCAACCAAGAGCAAGACGAATGGCTTATTCTTCAGGCGATACTGAAGGTAATGTATGAGATATGAATCAGTACCTTTGTTTTTCTTGATTCCATTGACATATCACCTAAGTCATTCAACGTATCTCTTTGAAATCAGACTCTGAGACTGATAACAACGAATCTCCCGATGACCAAGCCTGCGCATCAGCTGTCGACAATACAAATTTAAAGGACGATGGAGTCAGCGATGGTGACGCGAAAGACAGCATCAAATCATGAACAACATAGAGATCTCTTGAGAAGCAAACAAACAACGTCACAAGTCAATTTACAGAAGAATAAGCGACCAGGTTTGCTTTGCAACGGTTGTAATATCAAGTCTCTTACCTTATCATACTTGGGACAGCAAATCTGTATCACTTACAAACCTTGTGGCTCTGAACGTCTATTGGACGATTGCAAATGATTTGCTTTAATGATCCATCAAAGTCCTCTTAATGATTCATTACACAAATCAAGTTCTATACTCATCTAAACAACCAATCTTGGCTTCTCTATAATTGCTGATTTGTCTTGATATGACATGAGATCCAAGATTAGGTAGAGTCATGACAAAAGCCTTTGACGTCTTCTTACTCAAACAAAGGCTTCAAAATGTCGGAATTGGGAAAGTCAACTCCAATACTTTCTTAGCTAGTAGCGTCAACTTGCCGCCTTGGTTTTTGTTTTATTCTCTCTTTTCACCAACTAGTCCTCTTTTCTTTGTTGTTTCCTTCTTGACTTGACCTTTCCAATGTAAGTAACTTTGTTCCCACCATTAAATTGGAGCTTCCATGTATGATCCAAGACCCAGATCACTCACCTTCCTTGAGGTTGCTATTCCTCCACCTACTGGTACTACACAATGCTCAGTGTTCGAAGGTAAGGACTTAATCTATTTGTTCCCAGATGCATATAGCATAGGCCAAAATCTTACAATTCACAAACAATTCTCCTACTTGTTATGATATGTCTGCAAAGATTGTGTCTTTTGTATTGATCACATCTAGAAATTGATTTCTTGATTAGAGTGAGTTCTGTATGGTTCAGAAGAAGTTGATAGTGCTTAGAGTTCGGTGTGTGACTGTTATGTACTTCAGGATGTTCCGGGAGCACATCATCCGCAGAGGCCGGTGGTATATTAGGAGGCTCTACTCGTGGTTTTTTAACTTATTGATGCAGTCTTATTGGGAAGAGGTTTGTGTTTATGAACTGGATTGCATCATTCATTTGATTGATTTCTCACTCTTACAGTTTTGATTTGCTCTGTTTCTTCTTTGGTAAGATGGAGGATCGCAAGGTTAAAGTGTATGATAAACTGAGTGAAAAAGCTGAAAAGGTGTTGGAGATTGGTATTGGCACAGGTCCTAATATGAGGTACTATGCTGCTCGTAATAGTAATGTTACTCTTTATGGATTGGATCCAAATCCCAAAATGAAGAAGTATGCACGCAAATCCGCTACGAAAGCAGGATTGAAAACTAAAAACTTTAGATTCAAGCTAGGAGTAAGTTTTCTGTTTTTGTATCCTACATTATGTCTTTTTTCCCATAATCTTCTGATGTTTTTTGACCTTGTGTATCATTAGGTAGGAGAAGCTATACCACTAAAAGATAACTCTGTGGATGCAGTGGTTGCAACACTGGTTCTATGTTCTGTCTCTGATGTCACTCAAACACTCAAAGGTAATTCTTTCTTCCTACTAAAACCTCATTGCGGAAGTAAGTAAAACCTTTTCATAAGTTCAATGGTAATTTCAGAAATCAAACGGGTGCTGAGACCAAAAGGGGTTTTCATCTTCTTAGAACATGTTGCTGCAAAAGGTACATAAATGTGTGTGAGAAAGAGAGAGAGAGAACTCTTAGGTACCATATTCTATTACAGAAGAAAACCTGAATTCGTATTCGGTTGTTGCAGATGGATCGTTCTTCAAGCGTTTGCAGAAATTGCTAGACCCGTTGCAGCAGAGACTTGCAGATGGATGCCATTTGACAAGAAACACCAGAGAGTGTATCTTGGAAGCTGGTTTTAGTGGAGGAGTTGAAGTAGAGACTTATTCTATGTATAGCTTCCCTTGGATAACAAGACCTCATATCTATGGACTAGCTTACAACTAAAAAAACTATCATCTTTATTCAATTACACTAAAATGATTGTCTTTGAGTGTTGTGATTTCTGTTGCAACTGAATAATAAATAAACATTATTCAGTACAATATGATGCTCATGGCTTCAAGCATAACTGCATAAGCATATTCAGAGAACATAATACACTTTAAATTAACTTTGATAACTGATATATTTTGGGCCTTAAGAGTCTTTCGTACAGCCTATAAACTTTAAGCCCGAGCCCATTAGAGATATCGCATGCAAGAAATATCGTTGGTCGGTCGCATGTGAGATATGTGACAGAAATGTAGTGTTTGGTGAAACAAAATATCTTACTTATTATAGATTATATTGCACTAATTTTTCTCGAAGCTGCACCCAAAAAGTCTGCAATATCTTACTATTATATTATAATTATATACATAATATTTAGTACTACTATTTACTAATGATGTCCCACGACCCACACTACACGTGAATTGTGCTTTTAGTTGTTTTCATTTATTTAAAAGACCTTTTATTTAATGATTAATTTTATATGATTTTTTTTTGACAAAATCATTTCATCCACTGAAACTTTGAAAAAGAAATTCTTCGTAGAAACAAAATAGTTTTATCTAGAAAATTTGAGCTTACATGAAATAAAATAGAACCACATGTTCGTGCTTTTTTAACAAACGGAGAAACTAATACGACGAATATTAAAAACTAAAAAAAGTATTAAAAAATACTAATTAATATTTAGTTTCGACAGTGTAAGTTCATAAGTTTGGAAATATATAGTTATAAGAAAATTTTCTAAAAAAAACATAATAATATTATATATTGTTTACTCGATGATAAGACTTTTTTTTTCATTATATCTCAAATAACTTAAACACCTACATTATTACTTTATATATATTTTTGGTATGTTATGAGATGCTTATTCAGGTTTTTTATTTAATAGAAACATCTTGATGCAATTCAAAATTTGGTAATATTTTATGAATCTACTAAAATGCATGATTCAAGTTTTATCTATTTTATCTATCTTGTTTCCAATAATTCAGTTTGATCTCTAAAAGTTTTGCTTTATAAGACCATCTCCAACTTATGTTTTCATCTTTTTCTCCAAAATAGAGTATCTTCATTTTAGAGATAGGTTTTACTCCAATCCTACTCTATTTTAGAATTAAAAATGAAAATCTCTAAATTTTAATGTAAATCGAAAATAGAAATCTCCGAATATAGAAAAAAATAGAAATCTCTATTTTAAAATTAAAAATAAAGATGCATAGAAAAAAATCGTACTCTAAATTCTGTTTTAAAAATAAAAATGGAGATAAATTGGAGATGCTGAAAGCATATCCTCGAAGGATTTCATTGGCCCATTATCTCCAGATCTCTCCAATCATCATTGCCTTGCGATGTGCTCCCCCCCCCCCCATGTCTTCAATTGATGCAAAAATGACCTGGACATATATCACGAAAAAAAACAAAAAAAAATGGAATTACTCAATAATTGTTGATAGAACTCCAATTTTATATTATTTTTGAACCAATAGGGTTTTACACTTGGCAAAAATTAAATGGGGAATATTTCTATCCAAGTTTTGATCTTCCCTATTACTTTTCCAATTCATAAAATGTGGAACATTATTTTGAAAACATATATATAGCCAAACAAATTTCACTTTGCTAGCATAAGCTTTAAAGTTTTACTTTGCTAGCATAACCCTATAAATTCATATTAACGTATTCATAGTTTATGGCGGCAAATATCCACAACTCACTATATCCTTTAAAAAAAAAACTCTTCATTGAAATTGTTGAAGAACAGTAGTTGTATTAAAGTAAAGTACATAATTAAAAACAATTATCATGGTGAAATTTTTTTGAAACAAATAAATGTATTCAGAAGAACTTAACCAATCTGAAACAAATATCTTTCGATGCCAAAAACTTTACCATGTTGATGGTTGTTAGTGAAAGGATTGTTTCAAGCTATTTAGTATAGTTATCGAGTGATTAGTATTTATTATCACATACCGACATACGTTACATATGTTTGAATCCATTGAATTGTTATTTTAATTGCATATAGTTAAGAGAAATTGTTAAAAATGCCCCTTTTTTAATACCTCTTTTCAAAAATGCTCCCTTTGAGAGTCCATTTTTAAGTTTGCCCTCTTTTAATTTTTAATGACCATTTTACCCTTATTTGAAACAAAATTAGGTCCACAAAATACAAAATATTTTTTGGCGGGAAAAGTGATCCCGCAATTTTCCCGCCAAAACACTTGTAAAAACCTTTAAAATACCTTGTAAAATTTTCCCGTAAAAAATTTTCCCGCCAAAATTTTTTTTTGCGGGAAAAGTGATTCCGCAATTTTTTTGGCGGGAAAAATTTACAAGGTATTTTAAAGGTTTTACAGAGTATTTACAAGTGTTTTGTAAGGTTTTACAATGTATTTTAAAAGATTTTACAAGGTACTTATAAAGTTTTATAAGGTATTTATAACTTGTAAAACCTTATAAAAAACTTGTAAAACCTTATAACTTGTAAAACCTTACAAAATAGCTTGTAAAATCTTATAATATCATATAAATACCTTATAAATACGTTGTAAAACCTTTCAAAATACATTGTAAAACCTTATAAATACCCTGTAAAAAACCTTTAAAATACCTTGTAAATTTTTCCCGCCAAAAATTTAACGCCAAAAAAAAATTGCGGAATCACTTTTCCCGCAAAAAAAATTTTTTGGCGGGAAAAAATTTTACGGGAAAATTTTACAAGGTATTTTAAAGGTTTTACAAGTTTTTACAAGTGTTTTGGCGGGAAAAATTGCGGGATCACTTTTCCTGCCAAAAAATATTTTGTATTTTGTGGACCTAATTTTGTTATATTTCCTTATATATTTGTGATATTTTTTATTAAAAGAAGGGTAATTTAGTCATTTTGTATATAAAAAGGGGTATTTTTAAAAATGGACAGCCAAAGGGGACATTTTTGAAAAGGGGTATTGAAAAAGGGGCATTTTTGTGAGTCTCAATGTAAAATAATATATAGTTCAATTGTGTAATTTTGGATTTTTTTTTTTTTTGATTTTTTTAAAACTATTCCAAATAGCCCAATAAAAAGAAAAGAAAAAAATGAAACATTATTTATATGTTCTATATGATTTAACTAATCTTCCTCGGTAGGTGAACCAAAAAATCAGCAATATTTTATTATATATATGATATATTATTTAACTATATCCTTTGTCTGTCTTTAGTCTTTACCAATGATGGATGATACAGAATCAGCAATGGCGATATGTTTTTGTTCTTTTGGTAAATCATTTACCGTAAATGTTATATTTTATATTTGAAAAAAATAACTTTCACAAAGTTTATTAGAAAAGACAATAATGCACAAATGTGTTTGCTATATAATAAGAAGATAATGAGACGAGTAAGTTGTGTGAGCTATAGCAATGACGATCCTGCATTGCACACCTTCCTCACCGATCTCGGTGAACATTTTAGATTCACCTCAAAGAAGAAGAACAACAATTAGATGTTCTGTCAAAATACCGAAGAATATTCTCAATGCGACAGATTCTGGCTCCTCTAAGTTCAGCTTATGTCCTTGCGGAAGAAGACATTTCCTAGGAGATGCTACGACCACGACGCCGTTTCTTCCCATCCCTCCCTCCCACGCTGCTCAAACTAACTCATCGGTTTGCTTCCCAGTTTCTCTTATATCTATGTTAAACCATTGAGAAACATTCTTAACCAACCTCCGATTCAGTTAACTACTACATGTAGCTATAAATAGAAAGATAACGACCATAAGTTATCACTTGCTTATTATAGATAGTAGAGTACTCAGGTCGCAAACATAGTATTATGAAACCTCTTCTTGCCTTTTATAATGAATAATGTCGGACTATGATATTTTATTAATTTATAAAGGTTATGTACTTATGTAGTATCAAAATCTCTTCATATTAGGAGGTCTTGAACAAATTGCGTCCTCCAAAACCAGATTGGTATTTCGAGCTCTACGGTTGGTTTAGGAGTTCAGGAATGGAAAGATACGAGAAAGAGGTTAGAGTGACTTCGATACATGAAGTTGAATGCATTCTTACATTCCATTTCTTGTGTCATAATCTTTCTTCTTCTTCTTTGGTTAGATTGCGGGTTACAAGAAGAAACTCTTTAACCAAGTAGGAAACGCAGAAAAGGTTTTGGAGATTGGTATTGGAGCTGGTCCCAATATCAAGTACTACAACACTCTTCCAAACGTCTCTATTCTTGGTGTAGATCCAAACCCTAAAATGGAAAGCTACGCACGAAAATCCGCTATTCAAGCAGGATTGAAATCCGAAGACTTCAAATTCATTCACGCGGTAACGACCTTTTATATATATTCCTTAAATCCATAATAATTTGCATTTCTCTAATGCTACAACATTTCCTTGTTATTCTTTTGCTTAGGTCGCAGAATGTATACCGTTAGAAGATGCATCCGTTGACGCAGTTGTCACAAGTCTCGTTATGTGTTCTGTCACAGACGTCACTCAAACCCTCAACGGTAACTGTTTACTTCTTATAAACCAAACCTATTTGTTAAAAGTTTCATGAACTTCTAATTCAACAATGAATTAACATATGGATATTACAGAGATAAAGCGGATTCTAAAACCGGGAGGGCGTTACCTCTTCGTGGAACATGTTGCAGCTGAAGGTATCTCTTTTGCCATCAATTACAGAAACTATGAATGCTTAATCTAAAGTTTTGCCTCTCTTTTGTTGTGTAGATGGATCATTTCTGAGGATGGTGCAAAATGTGTTGGATCCAGTGCAACAAGTTGTTGCCGATGGATGTCATCTAACGAGACCAACAGGAGAATCCATTATAAAAGCTGGTTTCAACGGTGGTGTTGATATCAACAAGGCTTCTCTTACTAGCTTCTATCACTTAAGCCCTCACATCTACGGAGTTGCGTATAATTAATAATCATTAATTTGCAAGACTCTGTTTCTAGTCCTCTGTTTCAAGACTCTTGAAGAATAAAAAGTTCTCTTGCTGTTTGAATAGTGAGTCAATTTGACTAAGTTCAAGTTGAATAAGTCTCCATATATTGTAGGAGATAATAAAAGTTTGGTTTGAATAATGCGTTTTTGTGTACTCATCTTCTGTTGTAATGTGTCAAGGTCTTTTTAAAGACTCTGTTTTGGATTCTAGTTCTCTGTTTCAAGACTCTGTTTGTTTTTTATTATTATAGCCAATTATGAGAAAAGTTTGTAACTTTATCTGCTACTAATGTGTAATTAAAAAGATTTGATTTGTGGACAGAATCTGAAGTAGAGAAAAACCTATCTTCATATTATTACTTAACTCTAATGCTCTGCTCTGTTTTGATATATGATTAATTTGAGCTTTTTCAAGTTAAACGAATGGCGATCCTGCACTTCTCATCTTCTTCACCGATCTCGAAGATCATACATTCACCTCCAAGAAAGATTAGGGCTTTGCAAAATTCCATCAAAACCCAGAAGAATCTCATTACGACAGCTTCTGTCTCCTCTTTCAGCTTCTGTCCTTGTGGAAGAAGACATTTCATAGGAGCTATGTCTTCAATGCCATTTCTTCCCATCTCTCCCTCTCACGCTTCTACCTCAACGGTTTCTTCCTCTGTTTTGTGTTAAAGAACTTTAGGGTTTATCTAGAATTGATAAAAAATGCATCCTTTAATCATCTAAATTCACTTTACGTTTAGGACGATTTGAAGAGATTACGTCCTCCAAAGCCAGATTGGTATGAAGAATTCTTTGCTTGGTCTATGAATACAGAGATGGAATCATATGAGAAAGAGGCTAGTGACTTTCATGAGTTTGATTTCTTTTCTGTTTTATCTTACAGATTCTTTTATGTCTTATTGTTATTATTCTTTTGTCAGATTTCAGATTACAAGATGAAACTCTTTGATAATTTAGTTGGGAAAGCAGAAAAAGTTTTGGAGATTGGCATTGGAACAGGTCCTAATTTCAAGTACTACACAGCTATTCCAAACCTTTCTGTTATTGGTGTTGATCCAAATGCTAAAATGGAAAATTATGCGCGCAAATCCGCTGCAGAAGCAGGCTTGAAATCCGAAGACTTCACATTCATTCATGCGGTAACTTTGTGGTATCTCTGATATGCCATCATTGGCAATTTGGCACCCCCTGATGCTACATTTTCTGTTAATGCATGTGTTTAGCTTGGGGAATCTATACCGTTAGAAGATGCATCGGTTGATGCAGTCGTGGGGACTCTCGTGCTTTGTTCTGTCACAGATGTCACTGGGACGCTCAACGGTAATTGTTTAAGTCCTTTAAATTTCAACACCTTAAGAATGCTCAAAAACAGTTTGAATCATGTGGTTTTGTTATAGAGATAAAACGGATACTAAGACCGGGAGGGATATACATTTTCATAGAACATGTTGCCGCGGAAGGTATCTCTTTTGACTCGAAAAATTCATCAGAGTCCACTGTGAAGCTAAATCCTGGGTTTGGCTTTTTCTTTGGCTGAGCAGATGGTACATTTCTGAGGCTGGTGCAGAATGTGTTGGACCCATTGCAACAAGTTGTTGCCGACGGATGTCACTTGACAAGGCGTACCGGAGAGTCCATTTTAGAAGCTCGGTTCAATGGCGGTGCAGATGTTAAAAAGGCATCTCTTTCTAGATTTGCTTACATAAGCTCTCATGTCTATGGAGTTGCTTACAATTAAAAAAAAAACAAGAAAATGTCTCTTAGACTCATCCAAGGTATGATGATGATTGTACATTTCAATGATATACATAAATTTAAATGATGGCTCTAGTATATTTTATATAGTATGATAATTAAGTATATTATCGATATTGAATAAAACAACAATATCTATTTCATAAGATCTAGTTATCTTGGAAGTGAAACTCTAAACTATTACATAAACAATGTTCGAGGTAAGGTTTCACCTGCCAAGATGAGATAAATTATTCCCTAGAAAGCTGAAGACTATTCTAAAGACTAAGATCTGAGATTGTAATATCATTTTGGCCACTATGATGATGATGATGACTCGAGTTCTTTCATCGCCTTCCTCACATGTCTTGTCGCTCACATACTCACCTCGCAGAGTGATTAGAGCTTCACGAGATCATCTTCGTACTGAAACTGTAAAGAATCATCAACTTCCTTCAGGCTCCTCCTCCACCAGCTTATGTTCATGTGGAAGAAAACATTTTCTTGAAGCAGCTAGCCCGACGATGCCCTTTCTTCCCATCTATTCTCCTAATGCTTCGCGTTCCAAAGTGATTCTTTTTTTTTACTTTTTATCTTTCTCCTAGATGCATTTTGTGTATAGGCACCAGCTTTTTACTTGTGTGACATGATTTTACTAGTAAAGATTGTGTTTCTTTGGCACAAAGATTGTGGCTTTTTAACGGGTTGTCTCCAAATGCCAAATTTGGGGACTCTTATATTCTTGACATGTGGAGGAAATGTAACTGACTGAGATTTGTATACACTAGGAAGTTTCAGAAACATTTCATCCTCAAAGGCCAGATTGGTATAAGGAGCTTTTTGCTTGGTTCTTGAGCACAGGAATGCGATCTTATGAAGCAGAGGTCAGTCTTTGTGACTTGAATGCATCATTCTTTGATCCATTTCTTGAGAATGATGGATCTTTTTCCTGTTTTGTGTTATTTGGTAAGATCGCCGATTACAAGAGAAAACTATTCGAAAAATTGGCTGGTAAAGCAGAAACAGTGCTGGAGATTGGTGTTGGTACAGGTCCTAATCTGAAGTACTTTGCTGGTAACGAAAACGTCTGTGTTTTTGGTATGGACCCGAATCACAAAATGGAAAAGTATGCAAGTGAATCTGCTAGAGAAGCTGGGATGAAACCTGAAAACTTTAGATTCATTCAAGGAGTAAGTAAATACACTTGGTTTTGATTGTGAGACCTCCCTTTTTGTAATCCTCTGGTGTTACTTCTCTGTTGATCTTAGGTAGGAGAAGCTATACCATTAGATGATGAATCTATGGATGCAGTGGTTGCAACACTTGTTCTATGTTCTGTCTCTGATGTCACTCAAACACTCAATGGTAAACTTCATAAACCCTTAAGAGATCTCACTGGACAATATCTTTAACCGACTGTTATTTTCAGAGATCAAGCGGGTGCTAAAACCGGGTGGTATTTTCCTATTCATCGAGCACGTAGCGGCTAAAGGTATGTACACAAATCTTATAAATCAAACCCCTTGAAAAGACAAAACTGGAATCAAAAGTTTTTTCATTTGGGGGTGCAGATGGATCTATTTTTAGGCATGTTCAGAATGTATTGGATCCAGTACAGCAAGTAGTTGCAGATGGATGTCATTTGACAAGAAACACCGACTTATACATTTCGGCTGCCGGTTTCGATGGTGGCACTGAGATCAACAATACGGCAATCTATAGCTTCCCTTGGATTATAAGACCTCATGTCTATGGAGCAGCGTACAAGTAATGTTTCTTGCTTAATAATATAAAGAGTCAAATATTGACTTCATTTTTCTGTTTATGCAAATTGATTCCCAATATTTGAAACATTTTGCCACTCTTTGTTGTAGTAAGACAAGACTTTATGTTGAGTTTGTATGTACTGGACTACTGGTTGCCTTTGTTGGGTAAATTTGTGAACTTAAAAGGGTCAAGTTTGGGCTAAGATTTGTGAGACAATCAAAAGCCCATGATCATGGGAAACGTTCTTCTTTGGACGTGAGGCAACCAAAAAAGTTGCGAGTTTTTATCACAACACATTTTTTTTCCAATAGTCCAGTGTTGTTGAAAACAAAGATAAAATTAATGTATTTTCCAGTTTTCATATCATAGGAATATACAAAAAACGAAAAATAGATTGTTTTGACTTTAGAGACAGTCATTATGTGATTGTCAAAAAAAAAAAAAAAAAAGTCATTATGTTTGGTTTAGAAGGTCTTTTATGATTACTGTTTAATTAATTCTCCAGACTCTTAAGTCTCTAACGTGCCATGTAATTATTTAATACCTATTAATAATAGAAATTTGTATCAAATATGTCTAATTAGAGACCACAAAAAAGAATTCCAAAAAAGTGCCAATCAAAAAATGAAGAGATTTAGGGATTATCCGGGAAGATACGGGAAAAAAAAAAGAAATGTAGCAGTGTGGTGCATGCGGCTACAGCAACGGAAGTAAGAAGAAAAGGTTAGAAACATGTTGCATGTTCCCAAAGTTGCACATGAGACGTTCAAGTCATTGTCATATCCACTTTCTCACGATGCACCGTTTATTTTCACGTACCAAACGCTCCCATTTTTTTCTTTTTAATTTTTTCAAACTGTCAGAAGCATTCGGTTTAGTTTTGTTCGCAATTTACTATAAAATGAACTAAATATTATTTTTGTTCGGTTCGAGTTTAGTTTTGGATAAAAAATAATAGAAATAACTACTAGTTAATTTGACTAATACTATAAAGATTTTAATATGTACGTATTTTCTGTATATTTAATTTTTTGAAATATGTAATTGGTTTTTATGTCCACCCCTAGTTTATCACATCATTTCTCCTTTTATCCTTGCATATTTTAAAAGAATATGGAAGGTCTCTATATGTCGTCGTTTGGAATAGACAAATACATACCTATCTATTCATACAAAAAGTCGTTTTCCTAAACCAACTTACACAAAGTCATCTAAAAATCTTTTTTCTCATTATATTGGTCAGAATCTCTACCAGAATAACTGATATTCGTCGACACTCTTAACAACATATTGAAATATGCATTTCTTATTTAATTTACACTATTTTGTTGACAATATTTAAAGGAGAAATCGCTTGATGAAATGAATACTTTTCTCAATTAATCAGATGAAGACGGCCTAATTTGGTTTACATGATATACCATCGCTGAGGAATATAATATCTAATATATATACTCACACTAATACAATATTTACTAACATTTTTTGGTGTGTTATATAAAAAAAAAACAGTTTTTCGAGTAAACGAATAGATAATGGTATAAACAAGTGACGATTTCATGAGAATGACTAGTTTATGGCTCGGCCTACAAGGAAAAAAATACATATTATTTGTGTGGTTGCTTGTCTTCTGTTCATTCAAGTGTCAAGTGTTCCACGATACGTAGGGACCAATTTTACTTCTTTTCACGTGACATGTTTGGGCTGATGTTCACAAGAGTTATACGAAAATATGAAATAATCAGATGTTAAGAAAGTAATATATTTTATCTGAAAATATAGCCTTCTTTGTGAAAGATTTGTCTGAAAATAGATGCTAGGCTTGTAGACTGACCTTAAGTCTCAATGGCAACGATTAATATTTAATTTATAACGGTATCTTATCCAAGATTGTACAAAGAAGCAAAATCATTGACATATCATCAAACAAAGAAAAAATGATGTGAAAGCTTTTATTCAATTTGGTCCCAGCAAGATAGCCATGTTCGTAGGGTCGTATACTCGATCGACTAATTCAATTTAGGAGGTGAGGAATTTTACAAACAAAGAACAAAGATTTCCTCAGATATTGTTTCACAAGACAAAATAAAAAGAAAAGATTTCTTTTTATCTAGATACATATTGGTGTTTAAAAAAAAAAGATAATTTGATTTTTTTCTAGTAGTAGAAAAATGTGGAGGTTCAAGAAATACATTTTACAAAAAGAGTGTTAATTTGTGGGATAATTTTAGATTATTGTGTTGAAAATATATAGAAGATTAATTATGAAATCTTGTGAACTTCTAAACTATTTTGATATTTGTGAATTCTGAATAAAGAGAAAGGAAAAGGTATAATGATAATTAGGGTTTAGGCATTAAGCATATATGTGTTGCGTCGCTATTGGAGGTGCAACTTGGTTTTAACTTAGGCATGTGCCAACATAAGGCCAATATTTAAAGAGCCCCTTTGAAAAGGAACGTTTTTAAAAAGTCTTTTTAATACCCACTCAGAAACAATATGTGTAAATTCCTTTAACAAACCAAAAAAAAACAATATGTGTAATAATAATATACGTTTATGATCGATACCAAACCTAACGTTCTCATTTAAAATTTGTCTAATCAAAACACAATCCTTATAAAAAAACTTGTTTTGGTCAGTTGATATTTTTTTTTAACTGTTAAATGGAACAATATCGATTGTGTCTCGATGTTCGGTTTACGTTTTTAAAATTAGAATTTTTGGGTTTTAAAATCTTTAATTTTGTGAAAAGTAACTAAAACAAAATTTACGTTGGTTCGATTATGTTCGGGTTGTCAAAAATTTTGTTCGAGTTGAGATTACTAAAGAATTACCGAACTAAAACTGGAATTTTTGTTCCGCTAGGTTCTGTCTAGTTCGGTTTATATTGATTATTTCAGTATTGGTCAGTTAGTTTTATCATGTTTATGTAATTATTAAATGTATTTCATATCTATCTAGTAAATACTATTAATCGTCAAAGTACTTTGATTTATTCGTTTGGTTTTGTTTAGTTGCACTAGTCTAGTTAGTTTTTAGTTTCGGTACAAAATATTTTGACCGTTAAATTTAAAATAGAATTCGTTTGGTTTAGATTTCAACTAATTCCAATTCGGTTTGTTTCGCGCTTTTTATGGCAATCCCTAAATTAACGGTCTTGAAAAATAGTTATAAGCGTCTTGATCAATGTGTTATCCAAATATGTGTAGTAATATTCAATCCATTCCGATCAATGATACAACAGCACTCAAGAGCCGCCATCGTCACCAGTCTCCACCACTCATATTAAAAAGAAGTTTGACTTGTCAAAGACATTCCACATTTTTTTTTTGGTAACATTAGACATTCCACATTTATTTAACCTTTTGAAAAATACTACAGTCAACATTATAAAAACATTAGAGTCAATTGAGAGATTTCTTTATGAATTAAAAAAAAAAAAAGAGAGAAAACGGATCTAATTTACCTTTGGGTTGATCTCGATACGGTGATTATGTGTATAACACATGATATATGAAGCATGTACAGGAAATGACAATGTCACTAAAAGTCTAAAACATGTATAATTATAATGAAAACGATGAGCATTTCAATTGGATAACCTTAAATTATTGTCTAGGTTTTTTAAAAGTTAAAAAAGAAAAAAAGAAAATAGGTGACGGCATTTTTCTTTGGTGATAAAAAGCTGGATTCGATAACTCAAATGCGTTTTTGCTATTTCTTATCTTTTCTTTCCGTATGTTTTTTTTTAACATGTTTCCGTATGTTTTTTGTTCACACCTTTCAAGTTTGGGGGATTCTAAAAATGAAATGGTTAGTTTCACGTAAATCGGGTAGGTTAAATGACAAACCAAAAACCGGTATAATCAAATTGGGCCTTACTAATATATCTGGGTCAGACAGGTTAAAGTGCAAGTAAGTGGGTCACAAACAAAAGTAACCACTAACCAGGTGGAGAACACTCACCTTAACAATTTAATTAGAAAGATAAGTTATACGTAACGAGATTAAAGATTAACTAGATGAACTTTTTAATCTAGTTATTACTATACTAAAGAAATATAAAAGACAATTTCAAATATTTAATGTTAAATATTTTGTCCTACAAAGCGGCCCCGTAGATTACGGCCAATTTAAAGAGTAACCAAGCACGTGGATTTTGATTACATAACTTGTATCAGTGTACATTTACGTCTTTTTAACTGCCATAATCAAGATCATGCAGCTGTTTTCTAGTCGATCATAACCAGGATCGGCTAACTATCGAAAACTACAGCCAATTATCTTAATAAACCCATTTCAATTTTCAAAGTTTTATAATATATTAAATCCAGAAACCAAAAATGGTCACTGACGATGGAGGTGCTATTCAAGAGGAAGATGTTGACTATTGTCTTAATCTTGTTTGGCCAAAAACGAAATGTAGCAACAAATTAACCTAATTTTCCTTTTCATTGTCATAATATATGGTAGCATGCTAGTGATATAGAATGATGTGAAACGTTTGAAGACGAGCTCATGTCTTAGTTTGTACTCCCTCCGTATTTTAATAATTGTTGTTTTAGAAATTTTATTTTTTTGAATTGGATGTCGTTTTCAAATTTCTATGCAAAATTTATTACTTTTTAATGTTTTATGATGTCATAAAACATTAAAAAGTAAGAAATTTTGCATTGAAATTTGAAAACGACATCCAATTCAAAAAAATAAAAATTCTAAAACGACAATTATTAAAATACGGAGGGAGTAGTATTTAAGTTTGGGACGATTGACCAACTTCAAGGATATTAGAATTCTTTTAAATTATCTTGCTTTTGTTATAATGTATCATATAAGATGAAAAGATACATGAAATTAGTGAGAGAGAATAATAGAGCTAGGAACAACTATTTTAATTTTCATACAAGTGTTGGCGTGTTGCCAATACGTTACAAAACAGATATTCACTTAGTCACATACATAATCATTTTAAATTCGAAACAGCCTTTGATAATATTTATGGCTAATTACAAGCATAGGTAATCTTTTTCCAAACATAAATTAATTAATAGATGCATCAACTGAAATGGGTATTTGGGAAAAACAATTGGGGAGATTTGGTATCGAATAATAAATTATTAATTAATCAAAAGAGTCGTAAGCATTTGCATGATTATGACTTAAGCACATGAAGCCGACTTTAAGATTTGATTCATCTCACATGGTCATCACAATGGTGCTAACGTCACCCACGTTTCCAAAAGTAAATTTTCTTATCTTTCGTTAATTAAAATTATATATATAGTTTAGACTTTAGACAAATAAACTAGTATTAAGAATGTGATCAGACTAAGTAACTTATTTATTAAACTTAAGAAAAACAAATTTCTACATTTAAATATATTGGTTGGTTATACACTAGCTAGCTTATACTACGAAGCTAGTTAACGTGTGGTCTTGTTCATGTTAATCAAAAGTAGTTCAATTATCTTTATACATTAAAAGAAAATTGTATACAGTACATGCATATACGCTCGACCCTCATACGTACCAAAAGACCGAGTACAGTATGGACTACGTAGCTCATTATTGTTCATAATAAGTGACGGAGCCGTCGTTATACAATGTCATTTTTTTTTCTTTTTTTTTCCGGATTATTCGTTGTAACGTCTTGTTTTAATCAAAATGTCTTCACTAATTAGGATGCGTAATGCGCTTTACCTTAATTTTCTAAGAAATAGATGTCATTTTACTTTTCCCAAACAAAAAATTTAAAACGATTTTAAAGAAATTAGGAAAGGAACAAAAAAGAAGCAAGTGTCTCGGTCAGATAAGAGCATTTGCAGCAACAGTCGAAAGATAAATTTTTAGACCGGGTTGATAAAATATTTCATATTTTATTATCGAGAAGTTTTTTTGTTTTAATAGATGATATCAAGAGGAATTACTTCACGCCAAAGGCAACCATGTTTGGGATTTTTAGAGGATATTAGTTTTTTTATGTCGGTAATATACGATTCTCTTTATTCTCTTGTAAAATTTCTAGTGCTATTAAAACAAAATAGAAAGAATATTAATTTTACGGAGTTTAAATGCGACTTATACAACTAAAATATCATTGGGAGATTGACACAAATAGCCCCAAAAAAGTTGTTTTTTCCAAAAATAGCACATCATTTGAAAAGTTCCACAAATAGCACCATAAACTTCAATTAAACTTAATGAAAATATAAGATAGAAAATAAAAAAGAGAGCAAACACTAATCTAATATTAAATTGAATCAAAATTGTTTTAAATAGTAGAAATATATACCCTAATTTGGAAATAGGGAACCCAAATATAATACCACAAACTAATATTAAAATAAAAATCTCTTTTAAATGGTGAAAATATATACCCTAAATTGGAAATAGGGAACCCAAATATAATACCATAAACTAATATTAAAATGAATCAAAATCTCTTTTAAATGGTAGAAATATATACCCTAAATTGGAAATAGAGAACCCAAATATAATATTTTAAATTTATTTCTAATTTATTTTGTTGAATAGCTTTTATATAAAAGTTGTGGTATTATTGAAAAAAAAAAGCTAGTGATAAAATTTTTAGAACAAAAACACTAATAGTAAGTTAACTAGTGCTATTTTTGGAAGTTTATGGAGTGTGTGCTATTATTGTCAATAAAACTTGTTTTAGGGCCATTTTTAGGAATTTCTCAATATCATTTATATATTAATTTTTGCTATACACATTTCTTAATATGTGTAACATCCAATAATGCATATAGTGGATGAGTTATACCATGTCTGGTGTTCAAACAAAAAATTATACCATGTCTATGTATATTTTTATTAATTTTAGATAACTGAATAAATCACAGAATCTACATTAACCTTTAATTTAAACACGTAAATATCAATAATCTTTTGCTATCTAAAACATTTACACTAAAAAAAAAAAATGCATATGACTAATTTTAAAGCACTTGATACTCTGTTATATGGACGAAGCCGAGTAATCTTAAGGTGAGCAAGACAGCCAAAACATTTTATTCAACTGGTTTTTTTTGACATAATTTAAAAACATAAGAATTTTGTTTTTAATGGGATATAAACCTAGAAAGAATATTACGAATTTACGCCATATCTTTTGAGCCATCATTCCATCAACTACTAAACACATACGTTTGATTGCTTATATTTTTTTTTATATTTTGCTGCATCACTTTCTCACTAATTATTAACTCAATCATTAATGCATCAGTAGAATTTTAGTTAGTGATCTTAACCAAACAAACAAGTAAAGTTTGAATCGTGAGCTGAGATAAAATATTCCAGCTCGATTCCAAAAAAAATATGCGCAAAGTTGGTTAACCAAAAAAAAAAAAAAAAATAAAAAATAACCAAAAAAAAAAAAAAAAAAAAAAAAAAAAAAAAAATAAATAAAAAAAAAAATAAAAAAAAAAAAAAAAAATAAAAAAAAAAAAAAAAAAATATTCCAAAAATAGCATTGGACCGTGAAAATGGAATCTTGGGAAACCCCTCGATTCTGAAGACAGAAAGTTGGTTAAAGGTCGTTAAAACCGGCTTCGGGCAGGTCTGATCTTGTTTTAGTTTTAATATTATTCTTTACCAATTTGCCCTTGTTCCTACTTCCTATTCCTACCATCACGCTAATGGTTATGAATATTTTTATAGACGGAGACAAATATGCGCAAAGAGTGGTTGTCCGATTTACATCAGAGCAGACTACGAAAATAACAGATGATAATATATGTATAAGAATATAAATTAATTATATCTCGCAGAAAGAATTTAGTTTCTACATAGATTTACTTATATGCATGTGTAAGTTTATGTGTATATTAAGCACTTTAACAACAACAAAAAAAAAAATTGTATATATATGAAGCATAAAGACATACACATGTTACATGTACATACATATATTGACAATTGCTCTTTATGATTGTCGTCGTCATGACCGTTTACTTAAGCGTGTAAGTGGCGATAATTATTCATCCAAAAATTATTTCCAAGCGTGTATGTATCTATATTCAAATTTTATGTTCATATCATATATAAGAAAGAATTTCCGCGCGTTGATTACGTTAATTTTGTTATTACAGAAATATTCAAATTTTATGTTTATAGTGTTATCGAAAAAACTCGATATGCACATCAAATTTATGTCGAACCTCCTGGTACTTTTTTATTTGCATAGTATCCAAGACTATCTCCACGTTGATGATTTAATTAGCTTAAAGATACCACATGTTGAAGAATTTGTTTTAGCTTAATTAAAAAATGATCTTGAATAATTGCTCACTTATTCTTATCACACCATAACTAATAATGTGGTATCTCTACACAATGCTTGAAAAAAGATCAAATAATTTTAGAAAAACAATCGTTTATGGTTTTATGTATTTAACATTACTGCATGTTAACATTTTGAGAAGAAGGAAGACAAAGAAGTAATGATTAATTGGTGTTACACTAATCATTTGTAGATGAAATCATTATCAAACACTAATAAACAAATTAAAGAGGACAGATTCGTGTCAACTTTCTTCTGCTCATCTATCAATACATACTTACAACGTTAGCTTGAAACGGCGTCTGTCATCCACATGCGGGGCTATCTCTGTGTTTTCATTTATTTATCTTTTACTTATTAATAGATTTTTGTTTTCTTTCTCTCAGAAAATATTACTACTAATTATTAAAAGATGATTATTTTGGAGAACTTGCAAACGGACCGTCCATGATATTTTGTGGACCATGTTTCGAGCTGAAATTACGGAAACTTGGCCGTCGATTTCTGCCGTTGAAGTTCTTCTTCACCTTATTAAATTTAATGTGCATTTATTTTCTCGATGCGCAAACTAAAAAATGTGATTCTAAAAAATCTATAATCTAACTAACCCTAATAAATACTTCTGCAGAAACACAGTAGAAGGTCCTTAGAAGTTAGATACTTCATCACCAAACACATGTAAATTTTTATTTTGTCATTAAGTAATTCAATTTATGTACTTCCAACGACATTTTTTCTCATAAACCAGACACGACTTCTTCATCAATCGTACATAGTTTTGATGATTTTCAAATAAATAATAAGGTGGTTACGCATCGAAACATTAGACTGAGATAAACGAACGACAAATCTCTACGTGTCGTGATACATCGATCTCAAAGCAGACCACTATGACCCACTTGGATTTCAACTTGAATTTTATTTGTCTTTATGATATTTTCTTTGCTTTTCTTTTGAATATTCAATTTCACACTCAGTAATAAAAACTTTCTACAGCCTCCATATTGACCTTAATCCATTACTTCTACTATACCAAATTCAAAGTTTAGACTACTATTTTGTAGACTAAAAAACTTTCTCCAACTTAAATTGTTTCTTGATAGACTAAATATATTGTCCCTAGGTAAAGTTGGTGTTTATGTGTGTTTGAAGGCGCCTGAAAAAAATAGAAACCACACGACCCGTCTTGTAGCTCACATATGTCTTTGCCTCTTTGCTTTTTCATGCCATTAAATATTAAACCTTCAGCGGTTTTTGGTCCCCAACAATAAAAATATATTTATTTATTTTATTACTATATACTAGTATAGTTCATTAATAGTACATTGAATAAACCTAATGTTTTTTAATATGAAAACCCAAAAAAAAAATTGCATTCATAGTCTTGGACTCTTGGTCTTGTTTTAAAAAGAAAAAAAAAGTGCAAGCTAGTTGCATTAACAGTGGCAAAAACGTAAAATCATCACTAGCTAAGTTTTTCTATAAATTGAACCGCTCACCTCCTATGCTTTTTCCAATTCTAAACCAAACAACATATTCTCATAATCATCTCTTCTTTTATCCTCTTTAAGAAAGGAAGAGAGATCAAAGCTTCCAAGTAATCATTTCTTTCTCTCTCACACATACATTCACTAGTTTTATCTTCACAAAATGTTATCAAAAGTGATCTAACTTCATTTACCTATGTGCAGGTTTACACAAAAAGAAAAAAAGAACCATGGCTCTTGTCACTTTCTTGTTTATAGCTACCCTTGGAGCAATGACATCACATGTCAACGGCTACGCCGGAGGAGGTTGGGTCAACGCACACGCCACATTCTACGGTGGTGGTGATGCTTCCGGCACAATGGGTATATTTCCTTGAACCTTCTCTCACAAGGCTTTCAAGATTTGGCTTTTACCACAATTCTCAAGAAATTATATGAAATTTTGGATTGCAGGAGGTGCTTGTGGTTACGGAAACCTATATAGCCAAGGCTATGGAACCAACACCGCAGCTCTAAGCACGGCTCTGTTCAACAACGGTTTAAGCTGTGGTGCTTGCTTCGAGATAAGATGCCAAAACGATGGAAAATGGTGTCTCCCTGGCTCAATTGTCGTCACAGCCACAAACTTTTGCCCTCCTAACAACGCGTTACCGAACAACGCAGGAGGTTGGTGTAACCCTCCTCAGCAGCATTTCGACCTCTCTCAGCCCGTATTTCAACGTATCGCTCAATATAGAGCCGGCATTGTTCCCGTCGCTTACCGAAGGTAAAACCTAAAAAACAGAGCTGCTCTGTTTTAACCTAAAACAGAGTATGCGACTTTATAAAAAATGAACATGAAACAGAGCTGCTCTGTTTTTCTCCCAAAACAGAGTATAGTTAATTATTGGAATCTTACTCTGTTTTTCTTTTTTTTGTTGTGGTGTGTTTAACAGAGTGCCATGCGTGAGAAGAGGAGGAATAAGGTTTACGATTAACGGACATTCTTACTTCAACCTAGTTCTGATTACGAACGTCGGAGGAGCCGGAGATGTTCACTCAGTGATGGTTAAAGGTTCAAGAACTGGGTGGCAAGCTATGTCAAGAAACTGGGGACAGAACTGGCAGAGTAACTCTTACCTAAACGGACAATCTCTGTCATTCAAAGTCACCACAAGCGATGGTCGAACCACTGTCTCTAACAACGTGGCTAACGCAGGCTGGTCTTTCGGCCAGACCTTCACCGGTGCGCAGTTACGTTAGGAAGGGTGATTCAGTCAAATCTCATCTCATTGATCGTGTGGTATTGTAGTAGAAGCAGTAAGCAAAAAGTTTAGAGAGGGGGCATGATAGTAATTTGGTTCTTTCTTTCAATTGAGGTTTACCTAAAAGAAGTGGTGCTTCGAGTGCTTGATTTTGCACGAGGCCTTGATGGTGTCATCTTTTAGGAACCTTTTCTTATCTTTCTTCATTTTTATTGGTAAGGTTTTATGTTATACTGATGCAGAGGTGGTCTTAAGTTTAAGTACCACCCGCTAGTAGTAGTAGTAGTAGTAGTAGTCTCTCATGTACTCATTTGTATCCCTTCTCGAAGCGAGAGGGAGAGTTTTAGATTGTATTAATCTCGTTAAAGTCATCATGTATGTTGTAAATTTTTCAATTTCTACAAGTAATGAATGTTGGGGATTTGTTATATATACTTTGTGTAATAAATTATCATCAAAAAAGAAATGAAAAAAATTTATCATCGTATAGAGTCAGAAACAAGATCGGCATGTATTTGTTTACTTTTGTTTCACGTCCGGCTTATATTCCTAATTCACATAAATAGCATTGAAGAAGCATATATTTCTTTCTGTTAAGAAATTAGAAATTGTGATGATGATAAAAAAAAAAAAAAAGAAACTGTGATGATTAACTTAGGATTCTAAAAAAAAAAAAAAAAAAACTTAGAATTCTAAAAAGTTAACAAAAGAAATACTTGTAGAACGAGAAATTATATTCGAAAAGTAGTAGTTTTACTTGTATTTGAATTTGCTTGCATGTGAAGAGATTTGGTTATTTGATGATCTTAACTATATGGTATTATATGGTGAATTATATTAAGAAATGTTTTCGTGAAAAATATATTCGTCACACTCACATAGTCACATGTATGTGAAAGCCTAGTTGTAACCGCCCGCCCACTCTTTTCCAAACGTAATAGATTCGTTTAGAAGTTATAACTATAAAGACATAAATGCATCTTTTTTTATAGACTCGACAATATTAGCAATTTATTCGTCACCCATCTGCATGTAAATATATAATGGTCGCGTGTATTGACATGTTATTATTTGTCAAAAATATATTTGTGCATATGAACAAATGTATTACATAAGTCGGAAAAAAAAAACAGTATCGTTAGAAAAAAAAATATAAACAAAAATAAGATATGTCACTTCATTAAATACTTTTATTTTTCCCACCATCAAAATTTATTCTTACAAAATATATTTAACTAAACTAATATTCGATGAATTTTTTTTCTTTCTTCAATCAACATTATAATAGCATTCACATCTTTCTCTCTTTGATTAATTTGTGAATATATAAGAGACTACAAACAAGAGAATATCCATGAAAAAAGTGACTAAACTAAAAAAACATAATGTAGTTTCTGGACAGGTTATTTTGGCCAGCAAATCTGCATAACGTAGTTTGTAAACAAAATAAATTCAGCATTTTGCGGGAAAAAATCCAACTGACTTGAAAGAATAAAAATCAGCCATAAGAAAAAAGAATAATAATTTAACTATACTGCAAATAGCATGTTGTGACAAAAAGAAAACAAAAAAGAAGAATGACGTGCACGTAGTAGTAACAGTACTCACGAGTGATACAGAATAACCGAAGCCATGTGCAATTTCTGACAATATTTTGTTCTAACTACCCACATGAGTCCCCATGGGTCCCCGCAGACTCGAATTGCTAACCAAACATATTTAACATCGTCTCTTTTTCAATGGGCCTTATTAAGCCCATTAAAATCTAGCCCATTCTCTCATTTTACGCATTCAGTGAGCACTCTTCCTTTATGAGATTCAACAACTCCAAACCATTATTTATTGGGAAGAAATTGCATGAACACACTTTCGGAATGACTATTCAGTTTTCTCTGTTTACTACACTACTATCAAACCATCATTTAATACTACACCACATCAATAGTTTACGCACTATTCAGAGTTGTAGATAGATATGTATGGTTTGTTTTTTCCCGTTTGAGTTCATGTTTTAGAGTATAGAGTTTAGCTTTGAAATTATCATCATTATCATTATGTATAATAATAGCATACTATTTCTCAATTATGTTTTAAGACTCTAAACACGAATAGCAACTAGCAAGCATATATTCGTTTATAGTCAACTATTCATGTTCATGTTGTAAAAAAAAAACGAGATGCGTAAGCAGAGGTAAACGCATTTATTTACATCTCTTGTTCACAGCTTAGGCTTGTATTATAAATAGTATATAACCGAGAAACAGAACTTTGCTTACGCTTTTTGGAGATGTCTTGAGTTACAAATAACTTAAAATAGTATCATATCTTGTAGTATGTGTCCCTGTCACTTATCAATCCAAGCTCGGATCACTGCCTCTGTCTTTTTCCGGAGCTACTTCTCAGTTTGGCTGTTGCATAGATATGTTCATAAACAGTCAGCAAAACAAGACCTGTAATAACAGAGTTTTGAAGCAAATGAATGATGAGCAAACCGTTATTTACCCAAAAATATAGAGGATCATCGAAGACCGCAACATAAGGTAATGTTTCAGAAGAAGCGCAGTTGTTTTTTCCTCCGAACTGAGGCTTATAAGAAGCTTCCAAGATCTGGCTAACATAGTAATCCGCAGGACTTCCTAATAGATTCCACTCAGCTAGTTGCTGAAGCTTTTGATCATTTAGGAAACTGAGATTGCTGATTTGTTGGTTTGGATCAGCCGATGTCCCGGGAATGCTAGCTGTTTCTAGTTTTGATGTTGAGATATCTGAGTTTTTACTAAAGAGTCCTGAGTAATTTCCAAGAGATGAACTTGCAGAACACGTTATGTCCCTGTACATCTGATGAAGCTGCATATTAGGGTCTTCTTCTTTTGGAGGAACATTCATGTTTTCATCGGTACGAACCCATGAGAAATTCTCAAGCTGTTGCTCCATCTCCATTCCGAAATCTATATCTATTTCAGTCTGCAACTGCATAAACACAATGTTCTGGTTTAGTTTTATACACATCCCCAAACATCTTTAATGTCCAAACTGATGAATCTTTACCTGGTTTTTGCATTTGGAAGACATAAGTTGTCGGTGCTGATGTCTCGGCATGCTCGCCTATAAGTAGTAATAAGATGCATAAGTTTTGTAAAATGAGACGTTAACTCATTATTTGGGAGATGGATTATACCTTACGACCATAGATTTGAGCCAGAGATTGTCTTAATGAATGTTCTAGTTGCTGCAAATCATCTACGTTGTCTATATTCTCTACATCTGTCCAGTAGCTATCACGAAAAACCATGTAACTCACAAATTAGAATAGCAAAACCAAAAGGAACATCTAAATGAAAGTATATAGAAGATCTTGGCACCTTAGTCGTGTGTGTATATCTGATAATTGTGTTTGCAGAAACCTGATTTTTTCGCTAAGAACCTGAAAGTTCCCGTGTCGCGAAACGAATTAGGAGATACTTCAGCCTTATCATTAACATCATACTAGTAGTAGAACATACCTCAACTGTTGGTGTACTGTGAAAGATAACAAAAACGAGTCACATTAGTAATACACAACAAAACTAAACAAGAACAAACAGTGAAAGAGTTCACAAAGAATCTCATATTCTTGAGATATAAATTATACACACCTTTTGTCTAGAAACTTTGATATATCTATATCGTGGTTAACTTTCATGAAAGTTTTCCTCAAGGCCTGAGATATTATGAAAAAGAAATAGTATTAATGATAGTTTAGGAGATGAGAAGAGAAGAGAGACTAAACAAAGCCAATAACCACTACTTACTTCAAGGTTTTCCAACTTCCTGTTCAAACGTAGACAAAAATCAAAGAGGTATATGTTCAGTGTAATGTCAACGCAGAAAGATTCTAGATTCTAGAAATGTGTAAAGTGAAGAGAAGAGAAACCTCTTTGCCCTTTCTTGAGGACTGAGTTGAGCAAACTTAGCAATGATTTCTCCAATGCTAAACAAAACCCAAAAAAAACAGAACATCAAACTAAACAGAACGATGTGAAAGATACTTTGGTATAAAGAAAACTGTGATTAGACCTGTGTTTGCCTATGCAAAGTGAAGCCTTGCCCATGGGAGAGAACATGAGAAGCACAACATCTATGTCGCATAAGATCGATAACTCTTTCGCCTTTTTCATGATCCCATGTCTTCTTTTCGCATACGTAGATTGACGTCCATTCATGTTTTGTAGTTTCTTTATCTTTAGCTTCACTCTACCCATCCTGCATAACTTATGACTCAGATGCGGAACCTAAAAAAGAAAAAAAAACTTTCCTTATGAAGAAGAAAGAAAAAAAAGAGAGAAAAGGGTAAAAAAAACAGAGCTTTTGGAGACGAAGAAAGATCGTGAAGGAGAGAGAAGAAATAGGTTTTGATTGGGAGACCAATAAAATCGGAAATTAGGGTTTGAAGCTAGAGACTAGGGAATTTGGGATCGTTCCCATTAATTTTCCTCTGTTATTACTTCATAGAACAGAAACAACGACTTACCCGCTTTTCTTTTTATTGGACCACTCGTTTTGGCTAACCACCAAAGTTAAATCACTAAATCAGTTACTAGTAGCTACTAACCGACGTGTCACGTGTCAATATCATCGGGCTTCAAATCTTAGGAATGTGGCACTTAGATCTGACGAAGGTGGTGCCGTAACGGTGAAGTAAGCACCTTGCGGTTGAGAATCGCATCGGTCTACACGTGTTGATTAGTTTTAGACAAACCCTTGTTTCTTTTGTTACATTTTTCACAGGTGTTTTTTTTTCTTGAACCATCTATGTTTTGTATATACATGCTTATTAATATGTTATGATGATTTCTGATTTTTGGTAAAAGATTTATTAAAAAAGAAAAGAAATTGGTTCGTACTTTTAAAAAGTGTTATTAGAAACTAGAGTTCTATGTTGATCGGGGATTAAGCCTGTATTAGTCAACCACTGAACCAAGACACTGAATCCGACGTTGGTTGATCTCTCACTGTAGAGACATGTTTAAAGATTTCGATTTGAACACCAACTATTACAAAATTTGAAACAGAGAAAGAAAAAATAAGAAGAAGAAGGAAACTATGTTACTCCCTCCGTTTCACAAACAGTGTCGTTTTAAGGTTTTATTTTTGTTTCACAAAGAGTGTCGTTTTAGGTTTTCAATGCAAAATTTAATGATTTTTTATGTTTTATGACTATTAGTATTCTGCAGATTGTTTTACTATTGGGCAGATTGTGTTTAAGTATATAGGTAATGATGTTTTTGTTTAGAAAAAACAAAAAATTTAATGTTTTCTTAATCTGTGTGCAAAACTCTAAAACGACACTCTTTGTGAAACAGAGGGAGTACAAAAATTTGAAACAGAGAAAGAAAAAATAAGAAGAAGAAGGAAACTATGTTACAGACATAAAAACAGTATATGGACATAGACAATAAACTCACGTCACTATATAGAACCTTCGACATGAGTGTCCTCCTCCAAGAGTGGGCGTATCCCGCATTCACCTATCTCCAATTTTTGACTGTAGATTCTGAACTTAAAGAAAAGCTCTATGGATTTCACACCTTTTGCTTCAATTTCGAACGTGTACAGATGCTCATCTGTTGAAAGTGGAGGTATATATTTGGTTTCAGATCCATACTTGCGACCACTCTGTTTGTCTACGATGGTAAGAATTACATACCCACATTCCTCGTAATCAGCTTCGTCACCCTTGTAAACCAGCAAGATGCAAGCCTTAAATCTCAGAGATGTAGGAAGACACCTCTGATTCAACTTTACTGCCAGAGAACCTCCAGTGGTAGCTCGGTAAGTGAAGAACGCAGGCACTTCTCTACCTGGCAAAATTGCGTGACTACTCGTAGATGTCTGGATGATGATGTCTCTCCCTTTTTCATTCAGTTTCCAGCAGTTGATAAATTTGAGACAAACTTCAGGATTGGGAAAGGAGCAAAAAAGTGTCTCCAAGGACTCACAGGATTCTGCATCTAATATTGATAAGGAACCTGGAAGCTGCGAGAGTGATACCAACTTCGTGCATTTATTGAGTACAAGTCGACGTAAACGAGAGATTCCGTTAACCCATGCAGGAAATTCTTCTATTTCTGTATCGTTCAACTCCAGTTCTGTGATGATGTCAAAAGCATGTGGAAATTCTTCAAGGTCTTTGCGATATGTTATACGCACGTCATGAAGTCGAGACCATGACTTGATCGACAAAGGAACTTCTTTTATCAACGTTCCATAGAGCATAAGTCGTTCAATCTTTGTGAAAATGTCACGAAAACTTGTCAATTGCGAGCAACCAATGACATCAAGTTCTTCTAGAGAATCCAAGATGATGTTGATGGGAAGAACTTCTACCTTTGAGCATCCTTGCAAACTCAACTTCTTCAACATACGGAGGTTTCCAATAGAGCATGGTATCTCCACTAGACTTGAGCATCCGTTAAGTCTCAATTCTTCGAGATTAGTGACATCTCCAATAGAGGAAGGGAGCTCTACCAAACTTGAACATCGATTAAGATTCAATATCTTGAGATTAATGACATTTCCAACAGAGGGTAGATGCAGCAGATTTGAGCATCCACTAAGATATAGATAATGGAGATTAATGAGATATCCAATAGAAGAGGGAAGCTCCACTAGACTTGAGCATTCACTGAGATCCAATTCATAGAAATTAAGGAAATTACCAATAGATGAGGGAAGCTCCACTAGGCTTGAGCATTCACGGAGATACAATTTATGGAGATTAATGAGATTTCCAATAGAGGAGGGAAGCTTCACAAGACTTGAGCATTCACGGAGATCCAATTTCTCGAGATTAATGAGATTTCCAATAAAGGAGGAAAGTTCCACTAGGCTTGAGCATTCACGGAGACACAATTTATGGAGATTAATGAGATTTCCAATAGAGGAGGGAAGCTCCACAAGACTTGAGCATTCACGGAGATCCAATTTCTCGAGATTAATGAGATTTCCAATAGAGGAGGGAAGCTCTACTAGGCTTGAGCATCCACTGAGACCCAATTTATGGAGATTAATGAGATTTCCAGTTGAGGAGGGAAGCTCCACTAGGCTTGAGCATTCACGGAGATCCAATTTATGGAGATTAATGAGATTTCCAATAGGGGAGGGAAGTTCCACTAGGTTTGAGCATTTACGGAGATCCAATTCATGGAGATTAATGAGATTTCCAATAGAGGAGGGAAGCTCTACTAGGCTTGAGCATTCACGGAGATCCAATTCATGGAGATTAATGAGATTTCCAATAGGGGAGGGAAGTTCCACTAGGCTTGAGCATTTACGGAGATCCAACTCATGGAGATTAATCAGATTTCCAATAGGGGAGGGAAGTTCCACTAGACTTGAGCATTCACGGAGACCCAATTCATGGAGATTAATGAGATTTCCAATAGAAGAGGGAAGCTCCACTAGGCTTGAGCATTCACGAAGTCCCAATTTTAGAAGATTAGTGGCAGTTGAGAGATTAGGAAGCTCCTTCAACTTTTCTGAATAGAGTAAATCCATCACCTTGAGATTGATAAGCGGCTGTAATGACCAAAAAAAGAGCATACGAGAGTTTAGTAGTGAAAGAATTTCAAGGCTAAGATCTCGTTTTTATCTTTACTTTTGAAACTAACAATTCTATAAAAAATAATAGCATGGAAATAAAAATAAAATAAAACTCATAAAAGATGGTAAATGCTTACTTGAATTCCTTTCCACAGTTTCTCAAGCTTGCTGTTTTTTATAATTATCTTGACAAGGAACGTCGGATTAAACTTAGAAGGCATACATGTCATGGGATAATTATCCCAACATAAAATTCTAAGTTTTGGAGGCAGACAGTTTAGACCTTGTGGTAAGTGCAACCTTCGGTGACTATCATCATTATCATAATAATCAACATTGAATCTCAAAAATTGAAGATTAGACATTCCTTCAAAAGCTCTCTCACTTATAGTATCTAGTTCATCAACGATCCCAAAAAAGTTCAAATTTACGCCTATAACACTTTCACTACCCTGAAAAAGGACACAAAAATAAACGAGGAGATGGTTAGTAATCACATGTATTAAATTTATCTAGGGAGTAAAGGAATTGAAGGATAAATGACAAAATGTACCGTATGATTAGTGAGTACGTCACAAATCTCCTTATTATCAACTAAAAATTGACGTTTTCCAGGCTCATAAATGGATTGGTTACGAACAATTTCTCTACCCAATTGAACTAGTAGATTATGCATCGGTGGAAATGTATCCTTAGATATGAGGGATCTTTGAACTAAGACATGAAGCCCTTGCTGCACGTCCGAGAATTTGTGTTTAAGAGTATCTTCAAAGGTATGATCAATGTCTTCATCGTTGAAGAAGCAGGCTATATGGAGAAATAAATCTTTGTCTTCGTCGTTCAAGGCATCATAACTATATTTTAAAATGCTCCATACATCACCGTCAAGGCGAACCCTTAACCTTGGTAGTTCCGCTTTCCACTCTTCCTTGGACATTCCTTTTAAACGAGAACCCATGACCCTAAGTCCCAAAGGGAGCCTACCAGCAAGTCTTGTCACTTCCCAAGCAAGATCCTCGAAACCATCATCAGGAGAATCCTTACCAAAAGCATTCATGCAAAAGATTTGAAGAGCTTGGTGGTCTGGTGGAAAATCTAGATTGTAAATATGGTTGATCTGAAATGCCTTCAAAAGTTTTTGGTCTTGTGTTGTGATGATAATCTGAGATCCAGGACCGAGGCATACTGCTTTTGGCATGGAAAGTAATTGTACTAACTGATCAACCCCATCAAGAACAATAAGCACTTTCTTTCCCATCACAAAGTTTTGTGCAGTTCCTAAATGACGAATCTTTATATCCTCTTGGTTAATCAATTGAGTGAGAAACTGCTGCTCTAATTGCAACTTCACATCGTGATCATCAGAAGAAATTGGTCTTGCATAACTTGGTTTGAATTTCATGAAAACACTCAGTTGAAAACCATGGGAGATTTGATTATGTAGAACTCTAGCAATGGTGCTCTTACCAATTCCAGAAGGACCCGAAATCCCAACCGTCTTGCTTTCATCTGATGAGCTTAGGCAAAGCAATTGTTTCATCTTTTCCATATGAGGTCCCATCCCAATTAAACCTTCGAAATCACTTGATGGTGTGTAACTAATCAACCTTTTGGAAATTTCAATGACAATTTCTTTAACCATGGCAGCTTCATTTTCCCTACCAAAAAAAAACAGAGAGATTAATAACCAGCTTCATTTCTATGATATGTTGAAAGATTAAGAGCAAAGTAGACGAACCAGTTCCTTGAATCGTAACCAGCAATTGTAGCCACTTCCTCAAAAGCTTGTCTCCATCTCCTAATGTTATCCTTTGTTCTACCCTTACAAGTTTTCTGAAAGACAGCTCCAAATTCTCCGGTCAGCTTCTTAACATGGGATGGATCAACTTCATAGAAAACTGTAAACACGGTTAGACCAAAGTATTTCTTACATTTCATAATCTCCACCAATTCTTCAAGACACCACTTTGAAGAAGCATAGTTCCTGGAGAGTAACACAATCGCAATCTTAGATTCTCTAATGGCCTTAATGAGT